TCGAGGAAGCGAAGGTGGGGATAGCGGTGGACGATTTGGGCGGCTGCTTTGGCGATTCGTCTGTTGGATTGCTTCAAGCCCAGACTACGCTGGTAATAATCTGTCAAGAGATTCTCTTGGAGAAGGAGCTGTAGGGAGTGCACGCGACCAGCAAGTATGTCGGGAAGTGCCTCACCAAGACGGATAATCGTGGTCAGATCCACTAGGCTTGGGTACTTCTCGGACCACTCTGTCATCATCCGCGGGTTGTCTTCAGCCCAGTCTTTCGACACTCGTGGATGGTAACTAGCTTCGACACGAGCCAAGACGTGGTTGACTGCCCAATTCCAGTAATCAATCAGATGCGGGTGTGCTTGAGACACAGACTCTAAGGGCACACCCTCTCGGAGTTGGCGAAGATAAAAGTACGCCGCACGGTTGACTATGTCTGTTGTAGTCTTGTATAACTCCATGTCATCTTCGACGGCATCACTGTCAATCCCCGCCATGATATCTCGCATCCATGTGGTCTCTGAGAAGATGTTCCGGTCATCCTGGGCGTTGAACGAGCCGAATGGTGCACAGCAGAGACCTTCCATCTGAATCTCCGGATAATTATCCTCGGAGCCGAACACCTCCACGTCGCAGGAGATTTCATTCGAGGACACCTTCCGGATGAAGCAGTCCGCAGATAGATAATCCTTGCTGGACTTTTTCTCCAACAAACGAGCTAGATCAACACGGACGAGATCAATGGACCGCGGGAGGTAGGTCTTTGGCAACATTCCGTTCTGGGCCGAAAGAGCAGCCAGGAGACCATGAGAAGCGACATCCAGAATTGCAGGGTGCAAAAGCATCTGATCCTCACACTCGACAGGTCGACCAAGCTTGACACAGGAATACCCTTTTGTTCGCTGGACCTCCTGGGCTAGGAAGTCGCCAGAGTATTGAAGTCCGGTCGAACGCAAGGATTTGTAAAAGAGATCTATGTCGACGGCATCCAGGTCGGTCAGTTGAAGCTCTCTCCGAGGCAATACAGCCTTTTCTGGGCCATGCTCGGATCTTGAGCGATCAATCGTGAGAACAACTCGGCAGGCGAAATTCCGGCGGGAGTCGTCAATGCCAACCTCGGCTTGGGCATTGGCAAGTGCGCTACTGCACGAGAACTCAGCCAAGATTTGGGCTTGTTGATTGCCAGTGTCATGAATATCTCCATCGACTCGCAACGTTGAGAAGACCTCAGTAGCCGTAGAATCGTGATCTTCCAGAGTGATAGCACGGTGGATGCTGAGGTCCTCCAACTCCACCAGTACGATTGACTTTTTGTCACCAACCAACGTGATTCCGGCATCCAACGCCATGGACACATAGCCTTGAGCAGGGAGAAGTACCTGACCTTGAAACTTGTGGCCACTGAGCCACTCAAGCTCGTCAAGCTTCAGTATGTTACGCCAGCGTCTCTCTTTCGGGTCACTGTCTTCGAGACGGGACCCCAAGAGAGGATGAGGACGCGTATTTCGGGTGCGGAAACTCTTCGACGCTCTGGATTCTCTCCAAAGGGGCTTGTCATGGTCCCAAGAATAATGGGGCAAATTCTTGCACACCTGGTAATTCTGTTTAGACCACTTCTCTGGTCCTAGACAAGCCTTGGTGAACCCCTCAAAGTCAACCACAGGCCTGGCGCTTTGAATTCCTTGGGGAGAACTTGAGCTGAATTGTGTCCAGATAGATCCCAGCGTCTCCTGTATTGCTTCCAAATCGTCCAAACCCCTCTTTAGTGTCCCGCCATGAGTCAATTGGACACCCATGCTGGTGATTGTGTCTTGAGTCGGTCGCTTCAGGGCAGGATGTGGTCCAACTTCGACAGCCATAATCCTGTCAGACGCCATTCCCTCGGTGGCCTTCTCCAGGGCTTGGGAGAACAGCACCGGGTTCACCATATTGTCGATCCAATATTGGGAGGACAGGGAACTGACGTCCACGGGAGACTCTGGATAAACGCTCGAATACCAGATTGTGCTGCTCGTTTTCGCTGTCGGCTTGATATCGCAACTGACCAAGAATCTCCGGTAATCAGGAACAAACTGCTTCATATGATGAGAATGATACGCAGTGTCGACGCGAAGACCTCTCGCAAAGACCCCCTGTTCATTCGACAGCATGTTCAGCGCCTCATCAATAGCATCAAGGTCACCAGACAGGGTGACACTGGTTGGTGAGTTACAGGCAGCAACACAAAGTCTGCCAGCGAATTGCGGGCGACCACAAAACATCTTGGCATCGTCAACAGTCATGTCGGCAGCCAACATGCCACCTTTCTTTGCCTTCTCGTTGATCCGGGAACAAGCCAGGCCGCGGTAATAGGCGATGCGAATGGCTTCGGTAGCGGTCAGATAACCCGCAGCGTAGGCAGCAGCGATTTCTCCAGATGAATGACCGGCAACCCGTTCAAAAGTAATACCTGCACTTTGAAGGAGGTTGACAAGACCAATCTGTACTGCTGTGCAGAGTGGTTGAGAGATCGAGGCCTCTTGCAACCGACTCTTGTCTGATGCCGCCCTCAACTCGACTTCCAGCGACCATGAAGGAGGATTCTCTGGCACAGTGCCTAAAGCATGCTCCAACTTCTGTATAGTTTCTCGAAACAAGTGGCTCGATTCAAGCAAACCGGTTGACATGGTCGCCCACTGTGCTCCCTGTCCCGTGAAAACTCCTAGAATTGGGAGAGACTGGCCAGTGACGACAATAGATTTGCTCCGTGGAAGGTCGAGAGATTTGGAACCCTTCGTGGACTGCAGCCAGGCACCCACTTGTTGCATCAGGGTGACTTGCGTTCGGCCGGAGAAGGCCAGCTTGAAAGGCAGTTCTGACCGTCTATTCTGCAGGGTCCATAATAGGTGGCCGAGGTCACCGTGGTGTTGTCCAAGGCCATCTTTCAGGACTGACAGGAGCCTTGCTGCTGTTTCCATGAGAGACTGAGGTGAGTTCGCGGAGAGAAGCAGAGGACCGCATGCCTCGCCATTTACATTCTCCTTTTCCCAGCTCTCAACAATAACATGACAATTGGTACCTCCAAAGCCAAAACTATTGATACTGGCACGGCGCGGAACACCCGGTGGAAGATCTGGCCATTTTTGCGGTGTGGTGGGTATTTCCAAGTGTTGAAAGAACGGTTCAACTGCAGGAGAAAGACGACTGAAATGGAGGTTTGGTGGAATGATCCCATGTTGCATGGACAGAGATGCTTTCAGTAACCCGGCAAGCCCAGCTGTGCCTTCGGTATGACCAACAACAGTCTTGATAGAGCCCACAAGCAGTTTACCAGTGGCTGTCGAGTCATCCGGAAAGAAAGCAGTCTGGACTGCACGAGCTTCAATGGGGTCTCCAGCCGGCGTGCCCGTACCATGGGCTTCAAAGTACTGGCACCGATCCTGAGGGGAAAGGACATTCAAACCACACGCAGCGTAGGTGGATCGGATAAGATCGGCCTGTGAGGTAGCACTGGGCATAGTAATACCGGTGGTTCGGCCGTCTTGATTGACACCGGTTTGCCGTATAATGCATTCGATATGATCCCCGTCTCTGAGTGCTGCAGACAGGGGTTTCAACAGGACAGCTGCAACCCCATCCCCTCTTGCATATCCGTCGGCATTCGCATCCCACATTGCGCAACGTCCATTGGGAGATAGCATGCCGAGCTAAATATCACCACCATCAGCATCATATCCACACCAGGAGGTAGTGTCTGGACTCACATTGGACTCAAAGATGAATTGCTCGGGCCCAAGCAGCAAATTCACGCCTGCCGCAACGGCAATTTTGGACTCGCCAACGCGCAACGCTTGAACGGCGAGATGCAATGCAACAAGGCTGGAAGAGCAGGCTGTATCGATGGTGACGGATGGCCCGTTCCAGTCAAAGAAGTATGAGACACGATTAGACATGATGCTCCTGGCCGTTCCAGTGGCTGTGTACTGAGGAGCACTGTCGACATTGCGGAGAACAACATCGTAGTAGTCGCCGTTTAGTTGACCAACGTAAACACCAGTCGAAGACCCTTTCAGTTGTGATATTGGATATCCAGCAGCTTCGAGAGATTCGTACACGACCTCGAGTAGGAACCGCTGCTGCGGGTCCATGGACTCAGCTTCTTCCCTGCGTATACCGAAGAAGCCATTGTCAAACAGCCGGGAATCTTCTTCGAGAAAATATGCCTTTTGTGTATTCGTAGTCTACAGAGCAAGGTTAGAGACCACATAGAGTTTGTATCACATCATAAGACTTACGCCATGATGCCGCGAATCCTGATGATAAAATCCAGAGAGATTAAACCTTGATTCTGGAATCTGGGCTGAGATGTCACGGGGGTTGGACAAGAGATCCCACAGTCGTGAAGGGGAGGAAGCACCACCAGGGAATCGGCAACCCGATCCAATAATGGCAATGGGCTCAGGAATTTGTGAAGCCATACTGAACACAGGCATAGGCCACTAGGTGTGCATGTAGGTAGGTCGTTCTGTCCTGCTCGATAGCCTCGGAAACTTTGATCACTCCGTGGAGTCTGGCTGATGGTGGAAGGCCTAAGAACGCGTGCAACATCATGTTCCTCGTAGATGTATACTGATGCTTGCATCTGGAATTCATCAGTCACTCAGTGTGAGTGCCTAGCCACCTAGGCAAAATTCCTATTCGGGAAGGAGATGCCGCCTTTCGTGACATCGTGTCAGAACCTCAACGGCGAGTTCGCCTCAGTGGTGCAGAAACGAAAGTGATGACAGGCATCTCTGTCATCCATGGTAACTAGGGCTGAGGTGTATGGGTCTACTGTATACATCGAGTACCGCTCGATGGCATGCCGCAGTCCCGTCGCTCCTTCGGGACTTTGGTAAGCTAGGCATTTCTGCCGTTGGATCTCGAGCATTTAAGAGGCGTTGGCTTGGTTGTTGAATGGATTAGAAGCTCCCAAGCTCCCAAACCACACCACCTTTGAGAAAATCACCAATAGCGGAAACCCGTGCATAATGAAAAGTTTGGCACCCCAATTCACCGAATTCTTCCGCTTTGAGCTACTTCGGATTCTCGGAACGGCACCCTTCCACGGCTGCGACGTAAGCGAGTGGGCAGAGGCGACGGAGTCAATCAAGCAAGATGACCCGGAAAGCTGGTATGGAGCGTGGACGCAGGCAGCAGAGAGAGTCGAAGTAATGGCGGAGGAAGCCATGAAGAACGGTGATCATCATGGGGCAAGATGGGCATTCCTGCGGGCGTGCAACTACCGACGAGCCAGCGAGTTCATGTTGCATGTGCAACCCAGCGATCCCCGACTCCTCGCATCCTTGGTCAAGGCTTCCGACAATTTTCGACAGGCCAGCAAGTTACTGAATAGCCCTGTTGAAACATTGGAGATTCCTTTCGGCAATGGCTCGACGCTGCCGGGGTATCTGTTCCTGCCAGCGGGAGGCACAAGGGCGGGTCACCGTCAGGAAAAGATGCCAATCCTGGTGGCAACCGGCGGTTTTGATTCAATTCAGGAAGAGCTCTTCTTCGGCATGGCTGACGGTGCTCGTGTACGGGGCTATGCTTGCGTCACTTTTGAAGGGCCGGGACAAGGAGTTGTGGCACGACGTGGTACTGACCGGCTCCTGCTGCGCCCCGACTGGGAGGTTGTAATCAAAGCCGTTCTCGATCACATCTTCCAAGTAGCCGTTGCCAAGCCGCACCTCAACCTGGATCTGTCCCGCATCGCGTTGGTTGGCGCGTCGATGGGTGGGTATTTTGCTCTCAGGGGTGCAACCGACCCCCGCGTGTCCGCTGTCGTTTCGGTGGATGGGTTTTACGACCTCGGGGAGATGATGGCGTCCCGTACTCCTCGTTTCCTATGGCCTGAGAGCCTCGGTGACGGAATCTTCAACTGGCTTCTCGGGTCAGCACAAAGGTGGCATTTTCAGACACGTTGGGAGTTCCAACATGCCATGCTTGCAACGGGCGCTACTACACCAGCCGAAGTGTACCGGCAGTTGGCTCGCTATCATCTGCGCGGGCCTGAAGGGGGTCCGAGTGTCCTCGATCGGATCAAGTGCCCGGCCCTGATTACCGGTTCGAGGGACACGCTGTATTGGTCGTTGGAGGAGAGCACGTACAGGATCGTGCGGGAGCTGACGAGCCTCGAGGAGGGGAAGGACAAGAAGGTGTGGATTCCAACGGGTTGGGGACAGGGCTCGCTGCAGGCCAAAGTCGGAGCCTTTTCCCACTTTCATCACAACATGTTTTCGTGGTTGGACGACGTGTTCGGGATTGGCGCTGAGTAGCAGTCGTCGGAGCCCGAGGGTATCATGGAAGGATCTGAATGGAGTGGAGTTTGTCTTGGTTTCGTCTTAGAAGCGATGGTTTAACCATCATGGCACCATGGTTGAACAACGAGCGAGAGCGAAAACGAAGGCGACGGTGACAGCTAGGGTCAGACTCCGGGACAGGAGATGAAGGCACCAAAGAGGAAAGTGACATTGGTAGCTCGTAAGGCTGTTAGCGTTAGATTCCGCCAAGTGGTGGCGTCCGGGGATGTACGTCGCGCTGTTGCGCTGCCCGTTTGACAGTGCCGCAGCAGGTAATATACTTTTGTGGACCTCTCTATGCCGCCCACATGGAAAGCCTTCTTTCTCGTCAGTTGGGCGGTAATTGTTTCAATGATACCTGGAAGTTATCTGATGCTGCCATAGCTGCATCGATTGGAATATGGCTGGAAATCAGCACAACCAGGGAGTGCAAAGGCTTAGGGGTAGCCGTACTGGACTTTTTCCAGCCTGGTCTTGTCACCAGGCATCCCACCTTCGTTCTCTCCTCAAAGGCGCTTTCTCCTGCCAGAGCCGTTGACTTCCAGGTTTGTGCACCTGAACACCTGGGTTCTCTGCTCCACCCATCCTGCCCGCCATGGACGCCACGACAGAGTGCAAAACGCAAAGTCATGATCCAACTATCGAGCCAGTCCCAACGGACGGGCAAACGGGAGGTCGATATGGCTGGCGCTTCAGTGTAAGTTTCCATGTTCTCGCGGTTTAGACCTACCTGGTACAGTTTGCTGACTCTCGTTGGCGCACTCAGGCAATTCTCGTCGCCCTATCTCTGACTTCGATCCTCGCCGGTCTCGAAATCGGATGCATCGCCACTGCTATGCCCACGATTGTCAAGGCTCTTGGCACTGGAGATGAAAGTGAGACTATCTACGTCTGGGTTGCCAATGCCTACTTCCTCACCATGACGGCTTTCCAGGTGTGTTTCTTGCCCCTCCATTTTGTGCCAGCCGGCGGGACTGGCAACACGGACGACAAAAGAATGACGCTGACTTGCTTTCTCGCATTGATATAGCCTCTCTACGGTCAGGCTGCCAATATCTTTGGTCGGAGAACCATGACAGTGCTAGCCGTTGTATTCTTCGCCATCGGATCTGCGATCTCTGGCGCTGCTAGCAGCATGCCCATGCTCGTAGCCGGGAGAGCTATTATGGGCGTTGGTGGTGGCGGCATTCTCGTCATGATCGAGATCATCATCTGCGATCTCTGCCCCCAGCGCGACAGGCCCAAATATCTGGGAATAGTGATGAGCATCTTTGGTCTGGCCATGTGCGTTGGTCCACTGATCGGCGGTGGTCTGGCAGAGCATGCGAGCTGGAGATGGATCTTCTATCTCAACCTTCCCGTTGCTGCTGTCTCCCTGGTCCCACTGTTGCTTTTTCTGCGCGTCAAATACAAGAGGGACGCGATTGGAAAGATGCTCGCGCGGGTAGACTGGGGAGGAAATACTCTTTTCGCAGCAGCTGTCACGTCCATTCTAGTGGCGCTTACCTGGGGAGGGACAGAACACGCTTGGTCGGCATGGCAGACACTTGTTCCGCTATTCCTCGGAATTGCAGGTCTAGGTCTCTTTCTCTGGCTTGAGTCAACAACACTCATTGAGCAACCAACAATGCCTCTCCGACTCTTCGCCAACCGCACCTCTTCGGGAGCATTCGGTCTTACCTTTGTCGCTTCCATCCTGACCTATTGGATGGCGTACTGGCTACCTATCTACTTTCAAGCTGTCAAAGAAGATTCCCCAACACAGTCTGGAATCTCTACGTTACCTGTGTCGATGATCATGATCCCCTTCTCGATTCTTGCAGGTGGCGGCGTGACAGTACTCGGAAAGTTCCGCCCATTCCAATTCGCAGGCATCTCTTTGATGACCATAGCCATGGGCCTGTTCTCTCTTCTGGACATCGAATCGTCAAAGGGACATTGGGTCGGCTTCCAGGTTGTTGCTGCTGCCGGCGGCGGCTTGCTGCTAACCTGCACACTCCCTGCCGTCCAAGCACCACTTCCTGAAGCTGATGTTGCCATTGCCACAGCAACTTGGGGGTTCTTGCGAAGCTTCGGTGGCATCTGGGGCATCGCCATCCCAACTGCCATTTTCAATTCGCATGTAAACACCTTGCTCGACCAAGGCCGAGTGAGCGAAGAGGCTGTTGTCAACGCCTTGCGAAATGGCGGCGCATATGCCTTGGCTTCGGTGGGTTTCATCCAGTCTATTCCACCCGATATCAAACAGCAGGTCAAGACGGTCTACGTAGAAAGCTTGCGGCTCGTGTGGCAAGTTGCTATCGGATTCGGCATCCTTGGCTTTCTTATCACAATAATTATCAAGGAGGTCAAGCTACGGGAGGATCTTGAGACTGATTTTGGACTCGTCGAGGGAGCCAATAACAGTTCCAGCTCAGAGGTGGCTGCAGAAAGCGGGAGAGGCGTTGTGGAGAGTAAGGCCGAAAAGTCCGTGACCGGCACAGCATAATAGACGGTGGCCTGTGCCGGATGGATCTGGTGAATCGGTTTCCGAAAGGTTACTTGTGTTGGTTCGGTGTTGGAGAGGACTCCGTTCCGTGGGGCCGGATGGAGGTTTGTATGCGGCGCAGCTTTCACCCGTGTATAATTGTAACGCAACTTTTGCCTTGTTACCTATGCTTTCTTGGATCAGCCAACCTCTATACACACTGAAAACGACCTGCCTGTTTGGTCTATCCCAGCGGCGGGAATGGCTGACAATTAGGTACACATCGCTCTGGGTACGTTGAAACGCAGCGGCGTGGCACTGAATTAGCAGCACCGCAAAGGATGCACGGGCACGGCGCATACGGTCACACTGGTTGGATAAAGCCCCGAGGCGGCAAACGCCAAAGGTCGACTGCTTCGAGTCAACTCACCCTCATTCTTGCTGTATCACTTATCCCTCCCGAAAGCTCAACAACATGGCCGACCAAGCTGCCGCACCGCCTCAGCCGCCTACTCAGCTCATCAAGTTCAGTGTTTACCTCTACAAGAAAGAGGATATTGACTACGATGAGTTTCTCAACTGGGTGACCAAGGAGTACCCCTCCAAGGCAGCCCCCATCATGAAAAGACACGGTATTGTGCAATGGACACAGGTCAGCGTCCTTGACAAAGACAAACATCTGAGAATCTCCGGCTTACACCCTACAAAACAGACCGTGACCCCTCCGCATTTCCGGACCCCCTTCCGCGCTGCTCTTCAGCACATGGGAAGGGACAAGTGGACGGTCCCCGACTACGATGTGGTCATGTCGTATTGGATCCCCACCCCCGATACCATGCAGGCTCTGACCCAAGACCCTGAGTGGATCGAACTGGAGACCAAGGAAGCAATGCCGCGGGCTAACATGACAGTTGGTCACTTTGAGATAGGGCATGAGATCGTCCAGTTCGGTGAAGTACGGTCTCAGGGAACTGCTTAGATCAAATAGATGTATACCTGTAAAATACCAGGGTGTATCTAGCTCAAGAAGAACTGAATCGAAAATGAGGCCGCTTTCTCCAGTTTGGTATCACGTCATACTCAGACTCTCAGCAGTTACCTACCAACATCTAGAAAGAAATATGACTGAAGTGGACCCACAGCAATCCTTCAATGTCACAGTTTGATTCTGGGCAACATTTGCACCCGCACCAATCTCATCCCACATGGCAACAAGTTTTCGAGTTGTTGACTTTGCTGCCTTGAGCCTTAAAGATGGGGTATTCGTATTTCCCTCGGTCTCAGCTTTCTTCAAGACATCCCGGTCGTTTACACCCCCTTCAGGTAGGTGTCATTATATATGCGCCTGTGCCATAACGGTGCGTATCTAGCTGACTTCGCCTCACACGGGTGTCTATCGCAAACAGTTACCGCCCGGCTATAGACAAGTTCCAAACACTACCACGTTAAATCCGAGTTTCTCGGCAGCTGAACAAAACGGGTGGTTCTCCCGTGTCGGGTTGCGGTGAAATAGATTGCGATGGGACCCTTCTGTTATAAGCCGTAGTGTTACTCACACATCCCTACAGGTTGCTTCGCCACGAGTTCTGGGCGTAAGGCACAGCATTTGGTAATTGCTTACTGCTATTATTCCCCTCTCAGATTCTTGGCCATAATGGCTTGAACGATACTTAGGTACCTCGAAATAGCACACACTTTAATCGGCAGGTTTATGCTTTCCAGAAGGGAACTTTTCTGCGGCAATGTAGGTGGGTGGTCAAGTAGGCAGTATGAGACTGAGGAAGAGGCACAGCACTCAAGTCACAGAAGTGTGTGAGGCGAGTTCGAGGGATGGAATGAACTGCAGATTTCGAACCATGATCAGTATCATGGTAGTTGGATTTGTACTGCATACCCAGCCCCCACACAGATCTGTTAATGTATAATGTGGCTTGCTTACCCTTGAATTCCTCCGATTGTCTACCGCAACAGCCCTACCTCCCACGTGGATTTCTGGCAGACCTCAACCCTCACTATTCTCCTGGTCATTGGTACTCTTCCGTTCACTTGCACTGGTCAATCACCCCGTCGCCCACCGGTGACGCTCGTACTCCTTGACCATGCACATCGTCAAAGCGTTCGCGACCGGCCTCCTCCTTCTCGCCAACCATGCCGGCGTCCTCGCTCAGGACCCGGGTGCCGGCGCACCCGATAACTCCAATCCCCTAGCCATCTACCCACCATGTGCTGTGAGTCCCGTCTTCCCCATGCTACTATTCACAAAACTAACTTGCACATCAAGCAAAACTGCATCATCACCGCTTTCACAAACCACACCTTCTGCTCCTCCCCCCTAGACCAAGAATGCACCTGCACCTCCCCCGACTTCAACGGCTTCATGCACGAGTGCATCTTGGCCACCTGCACCATCCGCGAAGCCCTCTTCACCCACAACATCTCCTCCACCACCTGCCAAGTCCCCGTCTTTGACCGCTCCCCGGAAATCATCCGTGAGACCGCTGCCATGCTCATCACCATTTGCCTCCTCGTCGCCGCAAGAATAGGTTACAAGATCTACTACGCCGAAGGGGACAGGTTCATGTTTTCCCGGCCAAAGGCGCATACCACTTCCCAGAACGGGCTCTGGTGGGACGACTACGCGCTGGTTTTCCTGCTCCTGTGCGGTGGGATACCAGCCATGGTGTTGACCATCTTCTTTTTGGCGCCGAATGGCCTGGGGAAGGATATGTGGGCTGTCCCGTTTGAGGACATTGACAAGCTTTTCAAATTCAGCTTTGTTTCCGGGGTGTTGTATCTACCTCAGGTGGCGGCCTTGAAGCTGACGTTTTTGTTCTTTTACCTGAGGATCTTCCCCTCGCCGGGGACCAGGAGGGTGATTTGGGGGACGATTGTCTTTACCAGCTTGTACGGGTTGACGTTTTTCCTTTTGGCCATCTTCCAGTGCTCGCCGATTGAGGATTGGTACAAGTGGGATGGCACCGGGACGGGGAAGTGTCTGAACAAGGATGCCATACAGTGGAGCTGCGCGATTATCAGTATTGTGCTGGATGTGTGGATGATTGGGATTCCGCTTTGGAGCATGAGGATTGTGAAGCTGCATTGGAAGAAGAAGGTCGGGGTGGGGGCTATGTTTGCTGTTGGTTTATTGTACGTTTTCCTACGTTGCCCATCCCGGCTTCAAACCATAATCAAAGAGTGCCTGACTGACCTTTCAACAGGGTAACCATCGTCTGCTGCATCCGACTGCGGTACATCGCCGACATCACCAGCTCGCAAAACCCAACCCAAGATCTCTTCAACATCATCCGGTGGTCCACGATCGAAGGCTTCACCAGCTCGGTCTGCGCCTGCATGCCCTTCATCAGACAAGTCCTGGTGCGCATCTTCCCCAAGGCGATGCGCACAGGAACAACAAAGAAGTCGACCTACGCCTACAATGTGCACAGCTTTGGAAACACCCTCAAGGGCCACGGTGTCTCTGTCAACTCCGACATGACAGTCACTGTTAACGACCCAGGGTTAAACGGAAAGGTCTACCACAAAGACTTTCCATATCCCTACAACGTGCCACACTCGGAATCCACAGCCGCGTTGGCTGAGCGTGAAGGGGCAAACAGAGATGGGCAAGCCCAATATCAGGGGAGCGATGGGACGTCCGTGATCATTGTTCAGGGGAACACTCCGCCGCCATCAGGAGACATTCCTTTGACAAATGTTCACCGGCCTCAAAGATATTAATGATTTATGTTAAGTGTATAATTAGTTTCTAACAAAGACCGAAGATGTTTTCTTTTCTTCAGTTCGTTATCTTCAGGACGAGGTATGCCTTGTGCTCAGGGGTTCAAGGGCTCAATATTACCATAGTTACTGAAACCTCAAACAATTTGAACCACCAGAAAGTATGAAATTCTTTAGCAGCAAGATTTGTTTAGTATTTTTTTCCATCGGGGCGGACAGTAAACTGATCCATGGCATAGTGGCGGGAGGCTGTTTCATAATTCAGGGGCTAGCCCTAACCCTTAGCTGCATACTATGTGTCAAACCCATATTCTACCAGCCTTTCTCACATTGTATATAGAAAGCTCAACAATGGCTATACTATCTTCACTTCCCCTCCTCAATACATGTCAATTATCTTCACCATCACAACATCAAACCAGCCTTCTTCTCAATGACCTTCTCATCTGTTCAAACATTGGATTCCCCGCACATCTTGGCTGCAGTTCCATCCTCCCCACATTGCGAGCGGCCGGGGTGGGCGCCTCTGCCCCTGCCGTGGCGAATTACAGCACGAAGCTGAAATCCGAAACAATGGAGCGGCGCAGTCAACAGAGCTGAATGGGTTCGTTTCTTGTTGCTCTCGTGGAATTCCCGCATTTCGCTTCTTCATGTCTATCTGAAGCAAGTTGCTTGCTGTCTGTGTCAGCGATCGCCAACCTTCCCCACATCTCCAACTCGCACTAGCTAACACCAATAACGATGCCCAGTAAAGGGGTCCAAGTCTTCACTTACATCGGTGTACCCGATATCTCCATTGAGCTCTCGGTCCCCAAGCAAACCATCACCCGACGAGACCAAGGCTTCTGGAGTGGCACCCTCGAAGTCGAAGCCCGCAACATCGATAGTTTCTTCAACAAAAAAGGTCGCTTCACCTTCAAAGTCTTCCACCGCGGCAACCAAATCACAGAACAATGGATCGACGTCAACGCCCTAACCGGCAACGCCAGCGGCGGCACAATGGAATCCATAGCCGAAACACCCTCCATCTTCCACGACAACTTCATCATCTCCTACGGCCTCTACGAAGCCGGGCCCGGTCATGAACCCCTTCCCAACCAACACCAATGCTACGTGACCGTGACCCAAAACTACACCAACTGGATCACCAACCTCGCCCCCCCAGGCTCAGATTTTGAAAAGAAACCATTCCACCGCCTCGTCCTCCCCTCCGCTCACGACGTGGGCATGAACAGCATGGAATCCAGCGCCGCCCTCCTCCGCAAAGTAGGCGGCGCCGTCGTCTCAACAATGCTCACCCGCACCGACGACAAGGTCTGCCGGGTGGTCGACAAGCTCTCGGGGTACCCCATCGAGCTCATAGCCCCCAACATCATCTACAGCCTCTCCATCACGCAAAAAGACTCGTTGGAATCCATGCTCCGGATCGGAGCGCGGTACTTTGAGTTTCGTCCCGCCAGACTCCACAGCAGCATCCGTGGCCGGGACGCGTTGCCGGACAAGCTGTATTTTATGCACAGCGCCATCCCAGGTATGGGGTATGACACCTTCCTGGAAGGCATCGTCAAGTTCCTCCGTGCCAACAAGAATGAAATAATTGTGGTGCAACTCCGGTGGGATGGCGTCCCGTTTGACTGTGCCCATCCTTCCAGCGAGGAGAAGAAGCAGTATCTTGAGAAAGCGATCCGTGATCATGCCGGGGGTGAGATCAACGTGGGCAATCTGGATGACATGAAACACAGGACTATTTCTGAGTTGAGGAGGGATAAGAAGAGGTTGCTTATGCTTGATAGTGTGGATACTTTGTCGACTTATACTGATGATGGAAATGCCACGATCAACGGGCAGAGTATTGTGGATGCTTTCCCGCGGGTGTTGGAGGATAGGGGGGCGCAGAGGAGGGCTGGGTTTGTGTTGATCCAGTGTCAGGCTACGGCGACTAATATCCAGAAGGCGCTGTTGCATTCGATAAAGGATGCGGGGGTGACGACGAGTGTGTTGTTGGCGACGAAGGGGTTGTGCGATCATAAGACGCTGCCGTGGTGTAGGGATAATGTGGTGGATCGGTGTGAGCTGGGGAAGACGGTGGTGTTGATGAATGATTGGCTTGATGGGGCGACGGTGGATGTGGCGGTTGGGCTGAGTAGGAGGAGGTTGGCAAAATGAGAGAGGAACGATTTCGAAAGGTGATGTGAAGAATTTATGAGTAGTTTCTCTAGCGATCTGGGTGGCTGTTTTCTGGGTTTCGATCTGGTAGTCTTTTTTTCAGCGAGCTCCGGTGGTTTTATATACCTTATGACGGCTGTGTATGAATCGTCGATTTTGAACCCTCATTGAGAATGGGAGAGCGCAGCTACGAATGATATCCCGGATGCTTGAAGACTTGCCTTTAGTTGGGCAATTTCGCAACTGACGTCGTCTGGGGCCAGATATTGGACCAGAGTGGAAGACGTGTGTCGGTTTCCAACACTTGCTCCTTCCTCAACCTTGGATATGAACCACGGGTCACTCATCCTCTTACCCTCTACGTCACTCGGAGGTTAGCGTTCGCGGCGAGCGAGGACGTCGTTCTCGATGCCACGTTGCACTTGTAGTTTTCACCATTATGACCTGAAAATATGGCATACCTTACCTACTGGAAGTATTAACCTGCCAAATCAAATCAGGTATTCCAATCTCAAGTTTGTTTGCCCTATGTTGATTATTCATCACTCAGCCACTTGCTCGCTCACTCACTCACTCGACTTATCTCATTCGTTCATTTCTCAACCTCACACCATATCATCTCACACATAAAACCCCAAGTGTACAAATTCTCACAACCTAAACTCACACTATCCTCATCCATGAGTCCCAACCTATCTCATATCTCGATCCCCATCTCGATTGGCTACTCACCGACGTCACCGTCACACAACACGCCCCCATCCCCACGGCTCTACCTTCCACAATCTCGATAGCGCCCATCATCCGAAGCTTCTTGTGAAACATTTCTCGCACCGTTCCCAAAACGGAGCCACGGCAGTGGTAACTTGCATAGGTGACACTGACAGCTGTCACCCGACTTGGCTCAACATACCTACCGAGTCATCAACATGCAGAACCTTGACCCAACTATCTGGGGCAGTTGACAAAGTCCCCGACCCTCGCGAGGTAACAGTTCACAAAGAACAGTGAACCGCCAGAGCGGCCGAACAATGCATAATCCGGCGTTTGACTTACAAATAGGCGAATTTTTGAGGGGAGGAGTCGGACCGAGGCTATGATGAGGATGAGACTCGCAAATGCCTGGTTCAAGACCTATGTGTCCTCAGCTAATGGAACTTCTTTGATACGTAGCTACTTAGAGACCTATATGGCGCTTCGTAGACATTCTCAGCTGAATGAGCATGATCATAAGGCTAGGTGTGGGTGTATGGAGCCCGGGGTGAGAAGCACAACATCCCCAAACATTCACACAGCAGCATGGCGGAGGATTGGAACCACGTGTTTGTTTTTTATGGACGAGCCTTTTAATTTATGCAGGGCCCTCCTCCATAACACATCAACTAGGTAGTCAAGGTATGCTGTACCTCTGTGTCATAAACTGCCGTGCGAGGCAAGAAGAGCAACGAGTGCTTCCGGACCTGCGTTAGTCAGCCTGACCCTGCGTGATGCAGCATGCAAGTTGATGACCTCAGATAAACAAATTATTGACAGAGAAACCGCTGGGTATCCTCAACCCCGATGATCTTATGCCGTGCCGATGTGTAGTGAAGATATCGCATGGTACGGGTATCTGACCAACAACACCCATGTGTTGTTCAAAACAGGGATCCAACATTACAGAGCTTTGGGTCATCTCATTATTGTTGGGTTGCGGCATGTGAAATACCCGATTCTCGCTTGCAAAAGTGAATCTCGGGTAAACCCATTACAAAAAACAAAAAGTCAACACAGCCCCGTTAGTAAGGCTTGACATTTCTGACCTAGCCATCTGTCAGGTCGTTGGCATCGGAGTCTGGGAGGCCAGGTCTCGTCTGGGGTGTCACGGAACAAGCTAATGCTGACGTAGGGGTCAAGTTGGTGGTGACGGGAGGACAACAACCTCATGCGGTGTGATGAAGACACAGGAGAGAGGAGACCTCACACAACGAAGTTGAGCTCCCAAGCCTCCGCTGGTAGTATCTGGCGTCATTGGGGAAACGCAGGACAAGTGACAAAAGAATTCTGAAACTCAGATTCCGAATATCACAAACACGCATCAGCCAACGAGAGCAGATAAAAAGAAATCCCGGTCTTTGGGTAGGGACTGTTGTGCTGTTCCACGCAGGGAGGCTATGGGCTTCGGCTCTTGGTGAAACCGCAACCATGTGTGCGCCCGCCCATTGTATATCCACCGAGACCGTGACGGGGCGGAAAAGGCGGGAAAGCTAGATAATTGCTCGCCAACAAGCACGCGGTCTCAAGCCACGCGCGCCCACCTACCTTACCTACCACTGCCGATTCCGATTCCGATTCCGATGTCGATCCATGGGCGGGCGATACAGACGGATACCTTACCGGCGCAAAGGTCAATGACGTCCCCCAGCTTTCCCCCATCGCGTTTCAGCCTCCTTTGTCACATCAAGACGTCAGAGACTCGGATATCCCGTACCACCCCTCGACCCGAGAGAGAGGAACCGAACCGCTCCAAGACAGAACACCACTTCCCCAGTTTCAGAAAAGAAGGAACCCACATTCCATGCAAAGCTGTGGTAACCACCATAGCAACAAACCCCGCCTACACCCGCCCGCGCGTGAGAGTGCGTGCGTATCTGGGATGTTGTGGGACGTGTCAACAAAGCTTCTGTCTGTCGAGTCCGAGGTGCGGAACGATCCGTTGTGCGACCCTTCTTCGAACCACCCTCCTTCCCCACAGTAAAGCCGGGAGTCGGGACGCCACATCAAGTTTATCGTGACCGATCCGATCATCTTGTTCCTTAATCCGACTTCGTCTCATGTCCGACTCTCTGCTTGCGGAAGGGGTCGGGTAAAGGTCGCCGATCCACCCCCCGTTGTTCCAATAGCCAAGGCATCAAAAACAAGCAACACACAAAGTTCAACAAACAAAACACTACAATATATATTGCTGAGCCTATGATTCTAATCGAGAAAACAGAAAATAAAAACAAGTAGTGGTATCCAAACATGATTGATCGTAAACGTTTTTTTATCCAGACTACCTCGGGCCTCCTCAAGGGCTGAACCAAAGGGAGAAACAAAAGACCTGCCCAAGGACAAGTCATGCCAGATACAATGAACAGAAGAGTCCGTCCCAGACAGGAGACAGCCACACATACACAAGTAAACAAACAAACACACACACTCCCAATTCCCTATCAGGTGTTTGTGAATTTTTCCATGGCAATTCACACCGTCGGCCTTGTAGAAAGCGGATCCAAAAAAGATATCCTGGTCGTTCGTTACAAATCCTTTACATGCCCTTCTCGAGACCGCAGAGGACCTCGATGACGGTCGGGCCGGGCTTGATGTTGAGGCCAACGCCATCCTCAGCCTCCATCCCGCGAATGTAGGCGTTCTCGGCAGTTCCGTCGGGGTAGATGGACGAATCAACACCGCCCTGGGACATGCGGCAGCCGGGGAAGTCCATGTTGTAAGCCTGGGCAACGAGGGAAGAGCAGTCGGCGCCGGACCACCCCTTGTTACTAGTGTTCTCGAAGTCGAACTCGGCCCAGTTGCCGGCGTATTGGCCGTGGCTGGTGGTGGGGACAGAGTTTGGCGCGAAGGCGCAAACACCCTGTGTGTTGGAATCGGCAACAACAGACTTGGTCTCGCCGGGTTGGAGCTTGAAAACGAGCTGATTCTGACCCTCGACCTTGAAGGAGCCAGTCACACCGCCATCGGCACCGATCTTGTTGAAGCAAATGACCTCATAAGGGACCTTGCCGACGTTCTTGTAGTTCTGAACGTACTTGTAATGCTTGGAGGCCTTGGTGGAAACGACCTGGAGGTTGGAGTTCCATGGGCAGCCGTTAGCAGTGCCGGTGTTACCGGTGTAATGAATCTGCTCCCAGGTGACACGCTTGGCCTTCCTCTTGCTGGAGCCGCAGAAGGGTTTGTAACCATCTTCCGAGTCAGAGTCGTTGCTGTCCTCGCTCTCCTCCTTAGCAGGGGCGGGAGCAGGAGCGGGCTGGGGCTTGGGCTTGGGCGAAGGAGAGGGCTCTACAGCTGCGATGGATGCCTTGGGAGGTTCGGGAGTGGGTTCAGGGGCCGTCTCAGTTGGCTCAGGGAGGGGCTTGTGAACGGCCTTGAGGAAGGTGATACCGCCTTCGCGCTTCTCATGGATGCTGCGGTGGAGGTGGGCATGGCCGGAAGGGTGGGCAGTGGCGGTGAGCGCACCGGCGAGGAGCAGAAGGTGGGAAAGTTGCATCGTGAAAGGATCCGAAGGTCGTCAAAATATATAAACTTGGCCCAAAAATCCCGTCTATGTGAATCGTATATGGTCGTTGAATCGATGCGCTGCCGTTGATTTGATGCTCTGAGTAACAATGTTTTGCAATTGATGCTTGGTGTCCAAAGAAGGGAGCGTGGTGAAAAAGGTGAAGATATCGTTGCTATGGGGAGCAGCGGAGAGGCGTTCGTGCTTTTATCAAAAGAATGTCGCGAGATACAAGATCTCTGTAATGAGTGGATGGAAGCGCGAAAGGCGATGTTCGGCGAACAAAGAGGTTGGAGAGAGGGAAAAACGAAAAAGGAGAGACAAATACTTGAATGGGCGTGCGGCCAACGGGGGAGCAGGGTGTGCAGGGGTGCCGAAATGAGCCTGGATGTTTCTGCCGCTGGCCAACCCTTGGCTCCAAGACCGACGATCCGCTGGCGTTTTGACGTGAGTGGTCGGACGGACCCCGTAATCAAACAAGGTTCACGCAGGTCCCAACTGCTTCCTATTGGTCGAACGAGGCCATGCTTTTCTTCCATCTCGACAGAACTCGCGAAGTGCTCATGGAAGCGGACTCTTGAACGTGTCATCTGTGGACCCGTGCCACGCAATGCATCAGCGCATCTGGGATGCAGGTACTGCGGCTTTTCTTGTTTTTTGTCATCAAACTCTTCCTGCTCTCGAGTCAACACCACGGCATATCGAGTGTCACACCCACAAGCGACAAGCGATCTCCACCGAACACAGGGGGAGCACAGCGGCCAAGAGATGCAAAGCGGAACTACTGGCCGTGCCCTGCTTCTGGACCTGCTGGTCTGGGCCAACTTGGGTCCAGAATCGAGATGAATTGGCACTGCGTCCAGCGGAGTCACTAACATAATCCGCAATGCGGACCAGCATGCTGTGTTAAGCGCTCTCTTGGCCTTTAAAGCGTTTGATTGCAGCGTAGCGCGCCCTGGCAGCACAAGACGGGCCTACCCCAGGTCATTGTGCTCTGTTTCATCAAAACGCTGAAGGGAACGTTTGCAGAGGACTTCGACACCGTTTTTTTATGTTTCCACTGGCGCGTGATCCGATATCTTGTGTGACGTTCGATCATGTTTCTTTCTGGCGGTTCGATATGCGGACCTCCTCACCAACCAAGCTGACCTCCCTCTTTTATTCTTGGACCAAGTGGGTGGCCATCGTCCAGAGCTGTGCCGCCGGGTGGCTTCCATATGCGAGAACCCAATTGAGCAGCCACTTTTCCATGTGTGAAACATCCAATCTTTGGTTCGAGAAAGAAGAGATTGTCGTCTGATGAGATTAGCATATCTACCAGCGCAGTTGGCCAAGTTAACGTTTGTGTCCCCAGCACAGCAGACTTCTGCCATGATAACAAAACATTTCTAATCGTCAAACTGTCAAACGTGATATCGAACATGTCTTGATCCAACCTGTGATGTTGGCTGTCACTGACAGCTCGCGTGCCCCACAGCGACAGAAGCGCAAAAGTGGTCCAAGCTTTCTGTGCCCCGCGACAGACAGACGACGGCAAAGCTAGCTTGTGGATATTTTCTGATATCCCAAATTTGGCTTGCCCATCAAAATCGACGACAGCGACAATAGGAGCCCTCCTGTTGAAACTACGATACTCTGTCAAATCGATCATCGTGACCTCGATATTCGAACACAACAGGATCACAAATACCAACGGTCCAAAACCCTGATTAAGGCCGTCAAACCCACCCAGCCGACAACCATCCCCCCAAAGGCCATAAGCAACTTCGGCGCAGCAGAATATCCCCCCAGTTCGAACAAAAGAGGGGAAACCCCTAAACCGACCCCTCCACAAAACCCCCCATCATGCCGCTCGACACATCAACCTACGGCCTCGCCCTCCTTCGCGTCGACGGACGGAGGTGGAACGAGCTCCGTCGCATCCACGGCCAAATCCGCACCCAAGCCGCAGCCGATGGCTCCTCCTACCTCGAAATGGGCCACACAAAAGTCATGTGCGTCGTCACCGGCCCTAGCGAGCCCGGTCCGCGCCGTGGAGGAGCAGCAGGGGGAGCCAGCGGCGGCGCTGGATCGGGCGGGCAGTCCAAAGACGCAGAGGTCGTGGTCAACATCGTCATTGCTGGGTTCAGTTCGGTAGATAGGAAAAGAAGGGGGAGGGGTGACAAGTAAAGCCCTCTGCTATACACCATACCCCTTGGCGGCTCACAGTTATGCTAACAAAAAAACATAGGCGCACCCTAGAAATGCAATTCACCCTCTCCAACACCCTCGCCGCGACCCTCCACACCCACCTCTTCCCCCACTCCCAAATCAACATCTCCCTCCACGTCCTCTCCCAGGACGGCTCCCTCCTCGCAGCCCTCATCAACGCCGCCACGTTGGCGTGTGTGGACGCCGGTATCCCCATGACAGACTACGTGACCGCCTGCACGGCCGGTTCAACCTCAACCTACGCCGCCAACGACGAGGGCGCCGACCCGTTGCTCGATCTTAACCACCAGGAAGAGCAAGAACTACCCGGGCTGACAGTAGCCACCCTTGGTGAAAGCGACAAGGTCGTGGCGTTGGTGTGCGAGAGCAGAGTGCAGATCAGCCGGTTGGAGGGCATGCTGGCTGTGGGAGTGGACGGGTGTAAGCAAGTGAGAGAGATTCTGGATCAGGTTATCAAAGCGCAGGGGCGAAAGATGATCTTGGAGGGGACGGTAGACAAGGGGACAGGACTCAATGATATGGATTTGGATTAAGGCAGCATTGTCCCGTTGTCATATTGTATGTGTATCAGTGTGTTTGGTTGGAATGGCGTTGCGAGATAGGGTTTTATCCATCGGCCGGCGTTTTTGTCAGGAACTTTAACGATAACAGACATGGGAGCAAGGCAATGATTCAAAGGTGAGAAGAAGCCGGGTTCGTTTTGCTCTCATCAAAGTTCATTAATTCTCGTGGCCTGGAATTGGCCACCTACTTTTTGTGTTGCTGTGCTGTGTTGCCTCGGTCAAAGAATGCGCCAAACAAAACTCCCGTTACTGACCACCGGACAACAGAGAGATAGAATACAACAAACTTTTGGTTTCCCTCCAAAATATCAAAGCTCGTCATGCTCTGCGGCAGGCCTGGCCCCGCACTGCTCGGCAGCACCAGTCTGGCACTCTGGTTCGGGATCCGTGGCCTCGGTCGCGGAGGACTCGGGTGGAACTCGAGTGGCGTTCTCTTCGGGAGTCAGAGGAGTGGGTTCCTCGCTGGTGGCGGCCTCAGTCGCGTCGGGGGTGTCCGCAGCAGTCGGGTCCGCCTCGGGCTCCGGAGTAGCCGGTGTGGGCTGCTCCACCGAGATGGCCACAATGCCCTCGGGAAGCTTCTTCTTGGAACCCTCGCCCATACGAATGGCGTCGATCCAGCTCTCCACCGTGGTGTGCGCAAAGTCGGCACCCTCAAAGTGGCGCCACCAGCCCCTGCGGGCGTTGATGGCGATGATCTCCACCTCGTTGGTGAGATCGAGGGCCTTGAGGAGAGGGGCGGCGCCGTTGATGCTGGTGGGTACCTCGTAGAAGGGGAAGAGGTTGCGCTTGCCTTGGGCGTATTTGAAGGAGAGTTGGGCCAGGCTGTCGAGTGCCTTCTTGGCCAAGTCGCTTTCGCTGTTGGAGACAAAGGCAAGGACGCAAGTGTGAGACTTTTCGGTCAGGCACTCTTTGATCAGCTTCTCCTGGGAGTTGATGGTGGGAATGGGCAAGGCCTTCTCGATGATGACGGGGGCTTCTTGTGTTGGAACCTCAGGCTCGGATTCGGCTGTGGATGACGACTCGGATGAATCGGCCTTCTTCTCGGCCTTCTTCTCGGTCTTCTTCTCAGTCTTCTTCTCAGATTTCTTTTCCTTCTTTGCAGCCTTGGGCTTAGCAGGCGCTGGGTCAGGGTTGGGCGCTCCGGCTTGCGAGAGGAATGTGACCAAAGCCTCCTTCTTGAGCTCTCCGTCGTAGGTTACCGCCGGGGCATCTCCGCCCGGCAGAAGGATAAGGGTGGGATACTTGGTGATGCCGAACTTCTCCACGGCCTTGGCCTGAGTATTCCGCACCTGTCCGACTGTGATCACGTCGAGGAAGTCAATGGCAATGCTCTTGAGCAAGGAGGATGTAGTCCCCTTGTCAGTAAAGAGAAGAGCCTTTGGGGCGTCCTTCTCGTCATCCAAGAACTTATCCAGGGTCTTGTCCTCAACCTTGACAACGTGGTTGTTCATGGCTTGCACCACAGCCTCGACAATACCGCTTGCTGTTCTTTGGCCATTGTAGTCTTGCACCATCGGCTTGCCACCTCCCTTCTTTGGCCTGACAATCTTGAGCGTTGGGAAGCCCTGCACGCCCATCTGACCGCAGAATTGCTTGTTGGCATCATCATCGCAGTCCACCGCGGCTACCTTGGCGATCCCAGCCAGGTTCTTGGCAGCCTTTTCGTAGGCTGGCTGAAGGTTCTTGCAGTGGCCGCACCATGGGGCATAGAATTCGACAATCTTGAGCGGAGGAGGTTAGCTGGAGAAAGCTCCAAGTGTTTGTCTGCCAAGCTACAAGGTTCAATATCACTTACAGAGGTATGGTTGCTCTTCGCAATCAGTCTGTCATAGCTCTTCGCATCCACCTGCAAGACAGGAGACTTCTTGGAGTAGAGACCAGCCTGAGCTCCTGGAAGCGCAGACAGCAGGGCAACTGCCACGGCACAGAGTGTGGGGTGATGCATGATGCCTGCTCTACCACGGCGGCTTGCTTGTTGCGGGTGTTCTGCTCGTGTGGATAGCGAGAGTGGAAGATGGATGGGCTAATAGACGTAGTATAAATATAGAAGGTGTGGAGTTTGTTATCAAGTGGACACAAAGGAGAAGCAAGAGAAGACACTGGGCGGCAAAGAAGAAAAGAGAGCTAGTTCACCAGCCTTGCTCCCTGGGATGTCTTCACTGGGCATATATGATCAGATGATACACAGGACGAAGGTGAGCTCACTGCCTAAATAAAAGCTGGCATCTTTCCATGTTTAGCAAAAGAACACATTTCCAATGCTGTGACGCCGGTGCCACCTGCGATTGATGGAGAATCGACCAGAAGCAAGAGCTTGGACCATCTCGTGGCTTTAGCTCCCTGCCCATGTGCCCCTCGGCCTGGACAGCGGAATGTGGGGTAGACTTGGCAGCCAGGTGCTCCAACATCGAGGAGCAACTGGCGCTGGAGCTGACGACTTCCAACCAGGCAGACAGATCTAGGAGCGACAAACAGGATTAGGGATATTGCTAGATATTTTCTCATTGCCATACTCTCAGTCAACAACTTCTCTGCCTCACGTTTGCGATAGTGCCTACCTGCCTACCTACCCACGATGGACGCTATCCCCGCGGCCATCAAACAGGCCGATATCAACCTCTGGAAATGCGCCGCCAAAGCTGTGCAGCTCCAAAATGTGAAGCCCATCATCGCGTACTGGTGTGAATACTGGGTGGTCAGACAAATTCTGGCGAAACAACTGCATCTTGCCGATGAAGAGACTCTCAACTATACAACCACCTTGATGGACAAGCTGGAAGAGGTGCGTGCCGACGTCCTGCCAGCAATCTATAAACCCTGCGCTAACGTTGATGTTTCATGACAGACTAAGCAGGAATATGCCCACGAGGAAGCGATCATGGACGATGCCGCCAGCCAAGCCTATGTCGAACAATTCGCCCAAGAGACCCTCGACCGTGCCGAGAGAGTGGTCAAGGCCAACAAAGTTACCCAACAAACAGCGACGACGTTTGACGCAGCTGCTACCTTCTTTCACCTTGTTAATATCTGGGGGACTCCGGATGCAGAAACACAGCAAAAGATCAAATATGCCAAGTGGAACGCCGCGCGGATTGTCAAGGCGATCAAGGATGGCAAGGACCCAAATGAGTCCAACCCAAAGCTGGAGGAACTCGAACAACCCGCTCCCCCACCCTTGGACCACAATGATCCGGAAGTTCAGGGTCTGACGGACACGCCATACGGCGCCGGGCCAAGATCAGTGACAGTGGAGGATGTTCCCGACGTGGATCTGCGTAGAGATGCTGCCGGCGTATCGTTACCGCAGAGCCCTGTTTCTGCCGGACCACCATCAGCGTGGGGGGATGAGCTCAAGTTACCAGGAGTGCCAACACAGCTCAATGATCCTGCGCCCAGATCGCCTTCTATTCCGTCACCAATCTCTCCACCGTCGCATAATCCAGCCAACTACCAAGGAGCCCCTGATCTCCCATCACCAGTTACCGGACCGACTTGGACGCAGTCGCAGCCTAGTCCATTGGACACGCCTCCTCCCGTATCATGGTCACAACCCCCGACTCAACCACCTCCCACCACCGGGTGGACGCCATCTCCTGCGGCTCAACAACAGCCCTACGCCCCACCATCAGCGCCTCCAACCTTTGCTATGAACAACCCGTCGACAGCTGCAGTGGCTTCCCCGCCCGTCAGCCCTCCTACGAATCCTTATTACATGAACATGACACCAACAGCTCATACCACACATCCACCTGCGCCCGCCGCGTACGCACCTGCTCAAAGTGGCCTCGTGGACGAAGCTGCCATGGTTGGGGCTCAAAAGCATGCCAAATGGGCTATATCTGCGCTGAACTTTGAGGATGTGCCGACAGCGGTGAAAGAGCTGCGGAGGGCATTGGAGCTTCTTGGTGCGACATAGCTGGATTGTGATACCATTGATAATAATGATTATATGCAACTAATGCATCACCCCCGTCAACTACGTCTACATGTGGATTTCCTTGGGAGGCCTTGGCGCCCGAGCCGGCGTTCAGCGTTTGTAATATGAACTTGTCTTGCGAGCGGTTCTTCTCGAAACCAGACTGTCGGATCCTGAGGCAGTGCCTTGCTGCATGTCTCTGACAAGGGCGAAGGCTAGAACCGGAGGGGTGGCCAGCAGTTCGTTGCGAGCCACAGAGGTGTCACAAGCGCCATCTGGTGTAACGAGTGCAACAGACCGCGAGCGCACAGCAGACGCAGGCAGTGTATGAAGTTGACAAGCTGGCTCCATACGAGCCCCATGACATGACTTTTGACAGGGCCTGCTCCGGCAGGCTAGAGCGAGGAGATGCAAAACATCATGTCTGTGGTTCTGCATGTCTATCAGTCGTTTCTGCATTGGACTGACACTTGACAACCTTGCGAGAAGGTTGGTGCAGGTCTGGGGTCTCTGAGTGGTTCGGTCCGAATTGCCTTGTTTATTTCAAGCAGGTGGCAGGTTGTAGCTAGGAGATGGCTCAGTTACTGGGCGTGTGTCTTGCTGGGGAAGACTTTGTTTGCAATGTAGCGAGTTCAGAGGAATTGTATAAATGCATCAACGAATCGCGTGTTTCCCATTGCCTGTTTGCCTCGGTGACGCCCAGACAATGACCACACGAGTCAACGAAAACCGACCTCACACCGAAAGCTCAGGCGGGAATTGATTGAAGCTCGCAACTGCAGCTCCTTCTCCGTCGTACATACGACTCATTCGTTTATCGTCTTCGCTCTTCTTCTTCGTTTCTGTCATTCTTACAATATCATCTTACTTCCTATTGTTTCTGCGACTTGCAGTCGAGGTTACAGCTTCACTCACTTCCGCCCCCGAATTACAAGTACAGGTTCGGTGAACAGCTGGCGGTGGTTTGGGGTCGGTATCTGGCCTGCCTTGGTCGCGCGGTGTGCCTTGCGTAACTACACACCCTGTAGTAGGTAGAGTGCCTCGCCGCTTGGACGCTTCACTTTTGTACGGCACCCTGTGATCGACATTGGGCACAACTAGGTGGATGAAGAATCGAGTAGTTTCAGCTGCTGTGATATAAGTCTACCTTGCTACTGCGTTCGTATCTACGACTCAAAAGCATAACCCACCTGTCATTCTTTCTACGGTACGCCACTATCTGTGCTCGCCTGTACAAAGAGAAGCTAACAATCCGGCTTATATAGATTCACAAAGGAAGTCGACCGCCAACAATCAAAGATGGATAACGGCGACAGCACCTGCAACAGCAACTACACGTTCAGCAGCAGCAGTGGGTGCTTGTCTTCATCTACAACCTCCACCAGCTCTTCAACCGACTGGAGGCCACGGGTTTATACCCCTTTGCCACATGTACATGTGCCAGTGGCAACTATTTCAACCACGAGATGCGCAAGCCAACGTTGAAACTGATGGACTTGGCCATGGCACTGGGTCTGGGATTTTGAGGAGGTTTTGTTGGATGACCTAGACTTTCAAGATGCTCGTTTGAAAAGTCAACACATGCCGGTTTTTGAAACCAACAGAAGAATCAGATCAGTCAAATCGATTAGAGAGTAACACCGTACAAGCCTGATATGCAACCGAAACGCTCTTTCCTTCAGTGACATGCAGCAGGGCCACGCCCCTTCCCTGAGGATTGATGTCATCACGTCTCGGGACTGGTCGTTTGAGGTTTAGGTTCTGCATCCAGGGCAAGAATTTTACTATCAATGCTACTGTTCTGATTGATTTGCTAAAGTTGCTGTTTCCAGAACTCGCCTCTGACTTTGTGGCACAAGGGTGTCTGGCAAATGGTGTTTTTGATGTGTTTTCTTCTACCGATTTCTTCGCTCATTTCCAAGATATAAATTCGTTTTCTTTCACGATTTTCAACACGACTCAACATATCATATTTCCTTTTGGCTTGACGCCCATCACCTATTTCTCATTGATTCTCGATTTTGCTAGATCAACATACATCATGTCGACGGTCAGTTTGACCATTAGCTTGGCCGCCATGTGCCTTGTATCTGGTATACAAGCGCATGTGGTGATGAACACTCCCGAATCATACGGCCTCCACGAGGGCACCCCACTCCTTCAAGTCAACCCGCTCGATGGCGTCACCTACAAGCACCCTCGTTCAACTGATAATTTCCATCACAATGGACTCACTGTCATGGAGGCTGGAAATGTCACCAACGTCAATTTTACTGGCGGCGCTCAACACGGAGGCGGCTCATGCCAGTTCAGCATCACGTACGATACTCCCGACAATGGACAGTTGAACGAGAAGACAAGGTTCAAGACTATATACACCATCATCGGGTGCTGTCCGGCGCAGTTTACGAATGAGATGGCAAACCTACCTGCGCCATATCATGATGCTGAGCAACGACTAGACACTGAGCATTGTGGTAATGACACTGAATTTAATGGCATGAGGAATTTCCTGGTACCTTTGGCCGAAGTTGTATGTATCATGGAATTGATCGCTGAGACTATAGTTTTGACGATATTTATAACTTGAAGAATGGTCCCGCGGTGTTTGCCTCATCAGCTACCCTTGTTATCGTCTCTTCAACGGTATTTCCGACTTTTACTCTGGTTTTGTCTGTCAATGTCACTCACTCCCTCTCTTCTACGGTGACGCTAGGGACTGGAACCACCACTATCGGAGTACCATCCATAACGCCAACAAATACGGTCACAGTCTCATCTACTGGCGAAGTCTGCGAACCCGATACCTCTACACCAGCAGTCACCAACACAGCCCCTTCAACCCCCGCCACCCCCGGAGGAAACTACACCGCCAGTAGCCACCACCTCAACCAAAAAGCCCGGAATCACTCCTATATTCCCCATCGAAGACACGACGCTCACAACCTCGACTCTCTCAACCACACCCCTCCCGCTCGCTACGGCTCCACTGCCAGGATCAATCCAGATGCCCAAGCCAGCGGCCAACGCGGTCCCGTGCACAAAGCAAGAGCGAGGAGGAGGAGGCTTCGTTCCTTTGGTGAAGTTTTGGGAACGATAAGGGAGTATAAAATCATGATGGGACAGTTGGTAATACGCTTGGACAGTACAATTTTTTTGGAGATTGTAATTATAGCTGATTAGGTCGCAATATCACAGTTTTGTGTTTAAAATTTGCTAGAGGTGTTATCATTATCTTTGGTGAACCGAGCTTCAAATTAAAAGGCAAGTCAGCCTCCTACCTACTTATCCTTTATGGCTGATTTATGAACTATCATTTGAAGCCTATCGGCAAGATATCATCGAGGAAGACTACGCTCACATGTTGGCGTGGGGTCATTTCGTTGAGGTCCATGCTCATGCCCTACTTGTGCAGCAACAAGAGCAGCATACTCCGTCATACCCACGCTCCCATCCCTCAACCCAGCCCTAACTCGGAAAGAATCAGGGTGATATCGTGCAAGATCAGTGTCAAGCTTCACCGCGGGCAGTTCAACCTGCTCAGAGTCCTCCGAATCACCCGACGAGGTCACGGTAGTTAGACTCACGTGGTGCTCTTTACCCTTGCCCTTACCTTCTTGCTCGGGCACAACAGAGGTAACATACAACCACCTGTTCCCCGTCCAGACCTTTGTCTGCCTCAACTCCCGCTCATCAGAGGCCACCTCCCTCAACAACCCCAACGCCAACATCAACCCGACACCCTCCCACCAAACCCCCGTAAACGGCACCCAAAACTCCTCCCTTGCAACTATCCCCCCCCTCAAATCCCACTCCTTCCCCAACCCTCCATCCTCCCTCATCCGTCGCAAAATCCACAAAATCCCCAACCCGCACCGCCTCAACCTCTCCTCCTCCTCCAGCGTTTTATTTCCTTCGCGAAAACACCCCCCCCACCCAGCACACAAATCCTCCAACAACCCCCTCAAACTAACAACCCACACCCCCGTCCTCAGTATCCCCTCCCTCCAACCTCTGAACTGTTCCACTCTATTCACCCCAAGCGGGCTCACCCGTCCCAGCCTCTCAAACATCTCTCGAGTCACAGTCCTGATCTTTACCGCCCTAATCTTCCCCTCTATTCCTACCCCGATCATGCCAGGACAAGAAGGGATCAAGACACAATGCGGACTGGCCGCCGCCCACGATTTGATAACCGGCACGTCGTCGTCCGTGCAAGAGATGGAGACATGTCGGGGTAGGTAGTTTACGTGGGGGGGGACGTAACCCCATATCGCCATCGCGGCCGTCCCGGTGACCATGTACCGCGTGTGAGAGAGGATATGATGTAGCATGTCCAGTGTTTTCTTCAGGGTGGGGATGGACATGACCGATTGGGAAAGTCTAGGGGGGGAGGAGGGGGGTCGTCTTGTTGGTGCTGGAGGGTGGTTTCTCACCTGCTGTTGAGACTCTGAGGCAGTCGCTGTCGCTGTCGTGCCCCAAGGCGTGGTGGGGAGTGACTTTCTGTTCTGACGACCAGCATCAGTGACATTTGGTCCCCATGTCTTCTTCGACACTCTAGCACGGTTCCGCTTGATACGAGATCTCGAGTTTGATGGCTCTGGATCTGGCTCCGCCTGGGACTTCTCCTTGCCCGCAAAATCTCTAACAACTGCTTCTAGTTCCGACGGCGTGTAGCTGCGATCGTCACTAATGTCACAGTTCCCAGCAAAGCAGAGAAGATGGCACATTATCTTTGTGAGAAAAGTCCGGAAAGGCGCCATCTTGAAGTCTGAAAGAAGTATGCCAGCGTACTTCCCATGTCTGGTACCCATTTGTTCAAATACCTCTAATAATCTGCACATATAAAAGGAAAATTACTCCCAACGCACATATTCTGCCAGCAGCTTCTCAAGACAAGTCCATTGTTCACCGGTCTGGCTTGTTCTGGATAGCCTGCACACAAAGCTCCGACCGTCGAGGCACCACTCGAAAACCCACCGTCCAGAGGAACAAAGAAAAAAACACATCGGTGGCTATTGCTGGTTTCGTCTCGTCAATGTACCCGGAGGACCAAATGAATCTCTTTTTACGCTGCTACCTGTCTAGCGTGATGAGTTGCCCTTGCCCGCCTAACGCCTAATCATACAGCGAACGCCCCGAAAAACTGCCCGCCGAAGGGGTATGTAGAATTAGTCGTCAATGTTCAAAGTTCATCCTCCACATCCATTTCGTCCCCATTCGCTTTGCCATTGGCACCTGGAGTGTCCTTCTTTGGCATCGTCGCCTCCTTGTCGATCATCTGCCTTGACACCGCCACGATGTTGTCCTCGATCAGCTGTTGTCCGACATCTTCCAAATGCTTCTTGGGGTCCAGCTTGCCGACATAGCGCGTCTTAAGCTGCTCCTTGGTGAGCTCTGTCTCCTCCTTGACCCTCTTCTCGTATCCCTCTGCAAGACTGACTAGGCGCTCGAGACGATCCTTTGTTCGTTGACCCTCGCAATGGAAGTCCTCCATCTGAAGCGCCTCTGTCCACTCTTGCTTGTGTAGGTTCATCAACATATTCTCCTCGAGGGCCGTCTTTCTGTAGTTGATGCCGATCGAGTAGTAGTGGCGGTTAAGGCCGTGGATAAGCGCTTGAATAGAGGGCTTGTTCAGATGGCCCAAATTGGAAGTGCTTTGCCGGGGTTCCTGTCCCATGATAAGGGACTGTGGGTTGATCAAACGGAAGGCGTCGATGACGACCTTGCCCTTGACCGACTGGATTGGATCGACGACCACGGCAACAGCACGCGGGGTCAGCTGCTCAAAACTCTGCTGGGTATTGATATCGACAGACGAGAGCCAGCACCCGAAACCGGGATGCGAATGGTACCAGCCGACAACCGACTCGGGCCTGTTTGAGGGTGGACTGTTAGTCTTGGTCCGCCGCTTGCATCAGCACCAGTGATTGTCCCTACCTTCCTGTTTGCCGAAGCATGTCCATCATCTTGGTCTGGAACACCGGGTCGACGGCCTCCACACTAACACCAGTACCGCTCTGAGGCATCGCAAACACATCGACGACACGAACTGTGAAATCGTCGACAAATTCGCCCAGCATTAGACCCATGACTTCCATAGGGACGCCGGCGCGGCCGTGGCGAAGCATTTTGAGGAGGGCGAGGGACGAGATGTAAACGGTCTCGGAGTTATCGATGAGATTGGTATTATCCTAAGCACTTGATATTAACATCTCGGTGTTTACACATGTGTGGCCAGCCAGGTATGCTGCAGTGGGTAGCTCTGCGGTTGGTGGAGGACCTACTGTCCCAGGAGCAGCTCCCATGCCCATGCCAGGGCCAGCGAACATGGTTCTCAATCGGTCCATTTCAGCTGCTTTGATGTTTGGGAATTACTATTTGAAGTGTGAGAAAGGGAAGACAGGTTGGTGCAACCCCGTAGCGAAACAGCAGAATGGTTGGTGGAGGTCGTGGTCGGAATGGCTGGAAAGTTGGTGATGTAGTTGGGAGAGAGCTGATGTCCATCAGCCGCCTACAGCTTGCCCACCAAGGCGCGCTGTGGTTGACGAAAGCTCTGGCAGCCTGCGCTAGCTTACCTAATGCACTGACCGCTATGAGCCGGGGGTTGCTACTGTTTATCGATAAGATCATTTCACCCGTCGTATCACATGCCCCACACGACCCCTTGTCGCTTGTACTATTTCAGCCTTGCATATACCTCTGCCACGGTTATTAATGTTAGTGCGACAGGGGTCTTTGGTGGAAGTTGCACTGGCCGCACTAACATTTACTTCGCCTGCGGAATTGCATGCCACTTCCAGACCTTACCTTATCCAACCATGGCTCACAAAAGAGCTGAGGTAATCTGAGCTAAACATTCGCACCCTTGCACCCCAGCCACAGCGCCGCCAAGATGGATCCACTAACCTCAGCCTTGTCGAATCTGCGGGAGCCACGGCGGCGGCGTGGAATTGGTGAATTGCCTTCCTCGCTGGTCGCGGCAGCTCATGGCCTTTCCGCAGAACATCAACTTTTCCCCCACACACAAAACGGCGGCGCTGACTTTGATTCTCCTACCTTTTTGTTGAGCCACGGCAGCGAAAGAACCTACATCAAATACGAAGACGATACTCGTATCAATCTTCTCAACTGGCCCTCTCACCCTGGCCGCGCGAAGCTTGACTGGGACTCGAGCCGCGACCCAGATCCCGGCTTCGAACCCATTCCTTTCTGCCCACCGCTGCTGAGCCCGATCCGGTTTTTGCCTTCTTCACGAGAGCACGAGCATCACGAACTTGACGAGCTTTGCGAAACGAAGGAAACCCCCCCGCAACACACATTCTCATCCATTCGCTTTGCAACAATGTCGAATTCCAACTCGACCGACCCAGCGGGTGTCGAGAGGACCAGGCCCCTCTTCGAGGTGGTCAAGAATGACAAGAAAAGGGTTGCTTACTTCTACGACTCCGACATTGGCAACTATGCCTACGTTACAGGCCACCCCATGAAACCGCACCGGATACGTTTGGCGCACTCTTTGGTGATGAACTACAACGTCTACAAGTTTCTCGAGATTTACGTAAGTTTTCTCCCTCATTTGAGCGACAAACCGGAAGTCCCAAGTTGCTCCTGCTTCTCTCGAAAAGATGCTGACAGCCACAGCGTGCGAAACCAGCTGTCACGAGCGAGATGACACAATTCCACACAGACGAGTATATCGAGTTTCTGCAAAAAGTTACTCCCGACAACATGGACTCCTTTATGAGAGAACAAGGCAAATACAATGTCGGGGACGATTGCCCAGTATTCGATGGACTCTTTGAGTTTTGCGGCATCAGCGCTGGCGGTTCCATGGAAGGCGCGGCAAGGTTGAACAGAGAAAAGTGCGACATCGCAATCAACTGGGCGGGTGGCCTGCATCACGCGAAAAAAAGCGAGGCTAGCGGCTTCTGCTATGTCAATGGTGAGTCCATGCAGCTGTCGAGCCTCGCCAATGACAGAACCTAACATTGGTTTGCAGATATCGTGCTTGCGATCCTCGAGCTGCTCCGGTTCAAAAAGCGTGTTCTGTACATCGACATCGACGTTCACCATGGTGACGGTGTCGAGGAGGCCTTCTACACCACTGACCGTGTCATGACGGTTTCATTCCACAAGTACGGAGAATACTTTCCTGGTACTGGCGAGCTTAGGGACATTGGCATTGGCACCGGCAAGCATTACGCCGTTAATTTCCCTCTTCGCGACGGCATCGACGACGTCGCGTATGAAACCATCTTTGAGCCCGTGATCACGAACGTGATGCAATATTACCAACCTGAGGCTGTGGTCCTTCAGTGCGGCGGAGACTCTCTCTCTGGTGATCGTCTCGGCTGCTTCAACCTCAGTATGCGCGGACATGCGAACTGCGTCAACTTTGTTCGCGGCTTCAACTTGCCAACTCTGGTTCTCGGAGGCGGTGGGTACACCATGCGCAACGTCGCCCGCACATGGGCTTACGAGACGGGCCGCTTGGTCGGCGTTGAGATGGATCGAGTACTGCCATTTAATGAATATTACGAGGTAAGTACACGTACTGAAGTGCTCTTTACTTTGCCAGCTTCCTAACCCGGTATAGTACTACGGTCCGGATTACGAGCTGGATGTGCGAAATTCCAATATGGAAAACGCAAACAGCTACGAATACCTGGAGAAGATCAAGATTCAGGTCATCGAGAATCTAAAACGCACAGCCCCTGTCCCTTCCGTCCAGATGCAGGATGTACCGCGCCAGTCAATGGGTGTCTCTGATGACCAAGACGACGAGATGGATGACCTGGACGAAGATGAGAACAAGGACGTCCGCATGACCCAGCGGCAGTGGGAGAAGCGTGTTGAGCGCCAAGATGAGTACGAAGACTCGGACGATGAGGATATGGCAGCTGCCAACGGAGTCTTCAAGCTCAATGGGAGGACCCGACAAGAGACCAACTTCCGCGATACCAAGGAAGACGACACCATGGAGGTCGACAGTGGAGTCGCCACACCCGCTGAGCAGCCAGTTGAGATTACCGAAAACGATGATACTATGATCGACGAGGCCCTCGCCGAAATCGCAGCGGAAGCGGAAGCGGAAGCACAAGTCAAGGAGCCTGCTGCTACTGAGACAGCACCTGAGGCTCCAACAGCAGCGGTTGACGGCGACGGTGACGTGGATATGGGAGAGGTTACAGAAAGCAAGGCGGCCGAAACAGTGATCAAGACCGAAGATGTCGAAGAGCCTGTGCCTGCCAAGCAGGACGACAGCCAGTCTACGGCTGTGGTATCGCCAAAGAAGACCACGGAGGTGGCAGCTCAGCCATCACGCACATCCAAGTCGCCAGAGCCAGCTGTTGCCGCCGACAAACAAACCGAGAGCGTGCCAGAGGCCAGCGAGGTGGTGCCACCGACAACCACTCAGGACAATACGACCAATAGTTAGGTAACCCGCTGGTTGCATGACCTGTAGTGTAATGGCTTGTGCCAAGGCGTTCTGGAGCTCATGAATTATTGGTTTTGGATGGGTGGTTTGTTTTCGTCACGGGGAAAGGTGTTTTGAGGTGGCCATTCTATAGTACCCCTATCGTGCGTTTTATACCTGGGAGAGAGGCAAAAAGCCGGCGGTACATCTTGATGCATTCACAGAGTTATGGGTTGTTTTTCGCATCAGCGCCACGAAGTAGCCTCACGATTGCTATATTTTTTGGAATCTCCCAATTCTAGTCTTCACTCTGGATCGCACATGTTCTGCTATCTTGTCGTGTTTCTTTTTGTTTCTTGACGTGGTCCTTTGCACATCACTGTCTCAGCTTCACCGCATGTTGTTGTCAGCGGGGTGATGTGTTGCTCAAGATAAGGTCAATTGTCTTGTTCCTTGGAGAAGATCCCGCTGCCAAGCATTTCCCCAAACTCCCCGGCTTCCTTCCTTGTGGAACACGATCTGCGGGTCGTCATGCAGCCCTGCATGCTGCTCCCACAGGGTTCTGACTGACCCTCTGGGGATTCCTGCAGCATGTAGCAGAGGAGGGGCAGTCACTTATCTTTTGGGGAGCATGAGGAGGGCCTTGCCCACCTCTGATTTCCCATCTTCCCTATCTCTGAATCGCTAGAAGGAATGGAGCGATCAGAGTCTGCTCTTACACGACGATGACGATGGGCGTTAAAGCTTCAGGGGCTTTCAGGGGCTACCCTTGGAGCACCCACTGGGCCTTATCGGTATCGCGAGCACTACTCCCACGGCATCAACACCTGCGCGGCTTCCTGACGGGTGCCTGCATGGCGGGCTTGGTACTGGGGCTTGTTGTGTTGCTACAACTACATGGCTCATTTAATGATTTCTTGTGGCCGTTTTGGAAGAGCAACACCAACGGCAGCGATGGAAAGCCTACTGAACCGCCGCCTACTTTCCGCTGGGCTGATATCACACCAAGTCCAACTCTGACTTGGCATCAGTGTTACTCTCCCGACCATGACTGTGCGCGTCTGGATGTGCCGATGGACTGGCAGTCTCCGTCGGACTCGGCCAGAGTTGTGCTTGCTATCATCAGACTTCGCGCAGTAGCAACGTCCGCGTCAAAGAATAAGACGGATTATCGAGGGCCGGTGTTCTTCAACCCTGGGGGGCCGGGGGGATCGGGCATTTGGTCAATGCTGGATCATGGCAGAGAGCTGCAAGCTATACTGGGCAAGGAACAGTACGATCTTGTTTCGTTCGATCCTAGAGGGGTAGGGAACTCTGTCCCCAGGATCGAATGCTGGAGTCAGCAGCAGGATAGAGGGGTTTGGGATCTGCAGAACAGTGTGCTCGGGACGGTGGATGCTCATCCGGGGGTGGTGTATGATGCGTATGCTCGCGCGCAGGCTTTCAGTCAAGTTTGTGAGAACAATCCTGACTTGGCAGGGGAGGATGGGATCCTCAGGCATAGCAGCACCGTGTATCATGCCCGGGACATGCTCGAGATACTGGAACAGATGGGGGAGGAGAAGCTCAAGTACTGGGGGTTTAGCTACGGAACCGTTCTCGGCGGTACCTTTGCCGCCCTGTGGCCTCACAGAATAGAAAGAATGGTCAACGACGGTATGCCTCCCTCACACTCTCCTATCACCAGCCCAATGCTGACCTTGTTCAAGGGAACGTCGACTACGTCGAATGGTACCAAGGAGGCTACATCAACTTTCTCCACGACGCCGACGCAGTAATGGAAGCCTTCTTCACCCACTGCCACCGCGTCGGCCCCCTCCGCTGCCCCTTTTACTCCCCCACCCCCTCCCAAACAAAATCCCGGCTCTTCTCCCTCCTCACCTCCCTCCGCGAATCCCCCATCCTGGTCACCCCCCCGCCTTCCAACCTCACCTTTTCCCAACAACCCCCAGAGATAATAACCTACTCCAGAATCCTCCACCTCCTCTCCACAGCCCTCTACCAACCCCACCTCCGCTTCCCCCTCATCGCCCCCGTCCTCTCCGCCCTCGAGTCCCGCAACGGCCTCCCCTACCTCGCCTACACCTCCCCAGCCAACAACACCTCCCCCTCCACCCCGTTATGCCTTTCCGAGTCCCTCCCCCCATCCACCCCGCTCCCCTCCCCAAGCGAAGGAACACCAGACGCCTTCCCAGCAATAATGTGCTCCGACGCCTCCAACCACCCTCTAACCCCTTCCGAATTCGCGCGTACGCCCTCATCCTCCAAAACATCTCCTACTCCGCCGGCGCGGTCCAGTCTGAATTCCGGCTTTCCTGCATCGGGAGGACGGTCCGGCCAAAGTGGGAGCTCTCCCCGGACTTTAGCTGGTCGCAGGGTGTCAAAACGGCGTTTCCGATACTATTTGTCAATAACGATGCTGATAATGTTACGCCTTTGGTCTCGGCGAGGAATAACTCGCGGGCTTTCCCCGGGTCGAGGGTGCTGGTTCAAGAGGAGGGGTATGGGCATACTAGTCTTGCGGCGGGGAGTAGGTGTACTGCTGGGTGGGTGAGGAGGTATTTTCAGCAGGGGGAGATGCCGGACGGAAAGGAGGGGTGTAAGAGCGATAGGAGGCTTTTCGACGAGGAGGAGGAAATGATGGGCCAAGAGGATGAGCTAGGAGTGGCGGTGAGGGGGTTGAGAAAGAAGGTCAGGATTAGGCCGTTTTACTGGGGCTGAAGGAAAAGAGGAGAATGTCGTTGGGATGGGGTCTCTTTTTTATGAAGTCACACACGCACATATACCCCCTTGTTTGTTTTATTCCGCGTTATGATAACAATGATGATTTTTTTGTATTTTTCTTCCTCCCACCCATCTAACACACACATTACGACTATTATATCTACTTATCTCCCTCATGACGGCTCGTCAATGTCAGGTTGTTTGTCTTTATATCATATGCCTCCCAATGTAAATGCTCAGAAGCCCCCAAAATAAACGCCTTTGCCTTGTCTTCCCTTCTCAATAAACGATACCGAAGATAAAGGCTCCAAACGCCTGTTCATGTCGTATACGAGTCCCAAAATGGTCCCAGAGGAAAAAACAATGCTTTTGACCTGCCCCCAAAACCTACGCATGTCATCCCCCTCCCCTTATCAACACCGCCTTAGAAACTGAACAATCCACTTCTCCGCTTTCCGAAAGGATAAACCAGCAACGCACTCAAACTCAACCCTACAGAGATGTTGATCGCAACCTGAATAACGCTGAACAGCACGTTGAAAGCAGTGCTGTTCAAATCCGCCACCTCTTCCGTTGTCGTAAACGTCCCGTTGACAACAGTCCCGTTCGCCAAAATTGTCTCGTTACGAACAATCTGGTTGGCGCTAGCAACGCCGCTCAACAAAGACCCGTTCACGGCCAGGCCTCCGGGCACTTGGACAAAGATGGCAGGCAACATGGCCGCCGCGGCAAGACCGTACCCAACTTTGCGAGCATGCTTGGTAATACCGGCTGTGATGCCCTCGGTGGAAAAAGTCGGGGGTCCGTTCTCGAGGTCTCGCTCCTTCTCTCGCTCTGCAGCGGCTTTGGGATCAGACTCATCTGAATCCATGGCTGTCGATGATTGGTAATACGGGGACGGATAAGGTCCTCTCTTGACACGTCTCCGAAAGCGGCTCCAGCCTGGTTGGATCGTCCTCTCCCAGACATCGAGCATGTAGTTCTCAAAGTATCGTCCAAGGCGAGAGTAAAGGTTGGCGAGGACACCAATGGTCAGAGCACCGAGCGAACTGGAAACAACCGAATTGCCTTTGAAGAAGCGGGAAGAGTAATTGTTGACGAGGTAACCGGCGACCGAGATGATCACTTGGACTGTTGAAAACAATCGGTATTAGTATTGCGGACTTTGCAGAAGAAAAAGAGGGGAAAACATACCAGGTGTTTGCTTCCACTTCGCTTGATTGATCGCACACAGGCAAAGCGTGAAGGGAATGACAAACAAAACGTAATAATCGGGCGACGGTCGTTGGAGGTACCACTCCTCGCCAACTGAGCAGTGAATGGCGCTCGAGGCATTCTCGTCCATGTAGCCATAGATAACGGACCCTATGGTTATACCGTAGCCTAGGAAGAGCGTGTAGATGAGCGCGTACACCATTCGAACAGAACCCGAGATCATCTGGTGGTTTTGGAGCTCCAGACTTGCGCAGAGGATCATGTAACCAGGGAGAATCAGAGCAATCGAGGCCTGGGCAAGGGAGGAGAAGCAGAAGAGCGTTCCACCTCTGATCGAACCAAAGGCTCGAGCCAAGCACGAAGTCAGAATAGCTGCCGTGATTTCGAAGACATTGGCATAGAGCTCATTGGATGGCGCCAGGTAGAGCTGGAGGAAACCAACCACGCAGCCGAGGATGAAGCAGATGGGCAAGTCGATGTACCGGCCCTCGAAACCGAAAGGAGCCACTGCTGCTGACGCTACCCCAGAGAGCAGGATCCGGAACCAGATGGGGAACTTCTCGTTACGCTTGTTCACCTCGTCGAGTCGGGTAGTAGCCTCATCGACTCCGATTCGATCATGGACAACCTCCTTGTAGATCTCGTGGACATCGCGCAGGCGACCAAAGTCCAAGCCCTGATTAGCCTTGATGATCTTGACCTCGGTAGTGTGCGTCTGACTGTCGTCGAAAGAAATCAACATGATGCCAGGCAGATACAGAAACTGGCCTTCGATGCCAAGAACGCGAGCAGACATGGCCATGTAAGCCTCGAGACGATGGGTTGGCGCGCCATAGATCATCAAGGCGTTGCAGAGCTTGATCAGGTAGCGATGTCGATTGATGATTTCGGCGATGTGGATCTTGATCTTGTATTCGTCGACCTTCTTCTTCGACTTTGCCGTCTTCTTGTACCGTTCTTTCTCCAACTTGATCTTCTCTGAGACGGCATTTTGGATGTCCTTGTTGGTTCCGGGGGCGGCAATCATGAAAGAGGACTCCATCAGCCCAGCCAGAGTGCTGGTAGACTGTCTCTTCTTGGATCGGCGCCCCTTGTCGGGATCCGGAGTCGTAGGCCGAGACGTAGGCGGAGTGCTAGAAGGCGTGCGGTTTGGAGTTCGACTGGGTGTGCTGGGGAGGCTGGGGATTAGGAGGTCGGCGGTCGACGTCGACGCCGAGGCCGAGCCATTTTTCTCATCTGTGCCGTACAGCTTAAGAAGCGTTCCCAAGATGCCACCCTTGTACTTGTCCGGGCGGGGGATGTACTCAACATCGTGATCAACAGGGGTTGCTGTCCCTGACCGTGGAGTGAATGAGTGCATGAGTGGGCTTTTGCGCCGGGTGTGGGTGCGAATAAGCCTGTCCGCCTCTTGATGGGCGTTTCTTCGATACCTGAGGGAGTCGTCATTGGCAGGCAAAGCGAAGTCATGCGTCTGTGCAGTGTCCGAACTCCCCAATAGGCCCTCACGATCTCGAGAAGCCTCCTCTTCCAACTCGGTAAGTTCAGCAGAGCTCCTTCCAGACGGCGGGGCTGAACCGGTGCCCACCGAATAAGCAAGCCGATCAGCCCGGTTCTTGGCTTCGATCTCGGACTGATGCTGTGTAGCGGGTGTTTCGGGAACGGCCAGAAGTGGGGTCGATTTCCGGAGGACCGGGCGGGGCTTGCTCGGGGGTACTGGACCACTCAGGTGCTCGGGCTTCAAGATCTCAGCCAGGGCGGCAGCGAGCTGCTCCCTGTTAACAGAGTCTCGATTGGCATTGTGGCCATCGGTCGGGCTTGGACTCGGTGAGGGTGAAAGGGAGAAGTAATCCCGAGCCTCTGTTTCTTGATCGGTAGGGGTAGGGGTTCCGTAATAGTACCCAGAGTGAGATGGACCAGCCGTGATCTCGCTTATAAATCCCACCTTCTTCTTCTCCTTTCCCTTGTTGGATGATGACTGTGTGTTGTTGGCGGGTTGCTCAGGAGGTGGTGACTGCGGATTCTCCTGGCTGTCGTCACCCGGCTTCGTAGGATCTTCGGGTGGGCGTGGTGCCGACATGGTGACTATATGGCTTCTTTCAGACTTGCCTTTCAAAGTCTTGTGGTTGACGGTTAGATGGAAACTGGCTGTCTCGGGCCTGAGATGGTACTATATCAGAGAACGACAGTCTCTCAAACAAAGATGGGGTGAGTTGAAGTGTTGACAGAGTTGTTGGCAACGGGAGAAAAACGAGTGACGAAGCCCCAACCTAGGTTGAGCTGTTATGTTCCGATTCTAGCCAGAATGACGTGTGTAATAGAAACAATCGCGGCAAGGACGAATGTCGAGAGCGCTTGACAGTTTGCGTTTCAGGGGTCACCGGTACAGCTTCCGAAGGAAGGAAGCGGGATCTGTAGGCAGGTATCCGCCTCGCTTCTTGGAAGTGTCGATCGCGGAAGCTTTGTGGTGAGAGAGTCTTCAGGATGAGGTTGGAAAGGAAGACCCAAACTGATTATCGAAAGCTCGAAACAAAGAGCCGGCAGGAGTTCTGAGATGATCTTCAAAACAAACCTGGGGCGAGAGACGGGGACGGGATGACTTGTCTCTTTGGACCTTCCAGGCGAATAAATTTGCATCACTCCCCTGCCAGAAACCATGCTGATGCTGTGGAGGCCGTGGCTGCAGTCCTTTACATTACATTACACATTGAAAACCTTGCAAACTCAAAGAAAGCCGACTTGGCCGAAGGGGAGGAGCTGCCTGAGAGGACAGGAGACACATGTGGTGGAGTCGAGTTACCGTTGCGAAGCTTCTTGGCTACCAAGGATGCGATTGATCCATTCTTCCAGAGCTCCTGGTAGCTCCACCGGGCCGCTGTCTGGATGTGCTTGGGACCTTGGGATCTTCAGATCCTGAGAGGGGCTGGTTGGGACGGTGTGGTTCGGACAGCAGGGTCCCCTATAAAGAGGGCGATTCTCAGCGCAAACAGCGATGCTCTGTGCGAGCCCGCGGTATGTACAGTGTTAGGCAAGCGTTTCCTCTTTATGCAGCTAACACCACCGGCGCTCGTATCTCGAACAGTGCATTTTTCTCCCGCCACTTCAGTGGGCCGGGCCGATGCTACCGACTCACAGTCCAAGGTCCGATGACGTGTTGGTGGTTACTTTCCGCCGGTGTCTGCTGCTTGGCCGTGGAGCCGAACAATCGCCCGATATTCGCCTCCGGGAATCCACGGAGAGCCCTACGCGGACATAAAACTGAAATGATGCGCACCGCCCGACAGAAGCAACAAAGCTGGGTTTGAGGGTGAAATTTGCTTATATCATCGATTTCATCGAGATCCACCAGCACAAGCTGTGACAGTGATGAGAAATTGGCTTTTGCTGCCCAATGGCTTTTGCTCCATGACTCGAACTTCCATGGCGCCGGTGCCATGGCTTTTGGTGGACGGGACCAGCAAAATGTGGCATGAGGTACCAGGTTAGCTAGGTGATTGAGACGAGCCAGAAGCGATACAGTTGGGGCGGAATAAAAGCCGTCAATGGCAGCCCAGAACCCACCAATCGAGATTCTAGACAATCATCATGCGGCTCTTTTGCCGTGAACCACTTCGTCGTGGTTCGAGATGCCTATCTAGTCCCTGCAGAAACAGCGCCACCAGATCAGGTACAGGAGTATCCCTGGATTGGGCACCGCCTTGGCAACGATTGGCCCGGGCTTGGGGAAGGGTTTCCGTGCCGAGTCAGAAGCCAAACTGGCAGAAATCCATGCTCTGTTTCAGCAAAAGCCATCTCTGACTAGAGCAAGCAGCACGCCAAGAGACCCCAAGGTCCCAACGGCTTTGCGAGCTGCATTGCAGACAGATCACGACACGAGGAAGAAGACAAAATGCACCTCGATTCTTCTCATCCATTGATGGACACTCTGTAAAAATCAGAAAAAAAACAAAGACCGCTTGCTAAACCCTTGGGCAGTACGAAGTGAAAAAGAAACCACCGCCATTTTTTTATTTCCCCCAGAGCTCCCCGACCATAAATTAATGCGAAGTAATGACGAAATTAGCGTTGTCGTACTTTTCGGCCTGGCAGAGAACCTTTCCTTGCGGGTTCATCAGATGCACCATGGCCGCTCCATCAATCCCAACATTCTTCCCACGCACTGTCGTCGCCTCGGTATCGAGAAACCACAGGTCCTGGAAGCTGGCAAAGGGAACCTGCTTGTTCGTTTCGGCCTCGTAGAAGTCCTCCAGAATCCACTCAACATCCCACCGGCACAGCTTGGGCCCGCTGGTCAAATTGAGCGTCATTGAGTAGCCGCGCTGAGCGTTTGTTACAATTCTTCAGTAGCCACAACCTGGTTAGCACTTTGCTTTTTGTCGGAAAAAGAGCTGCTGCTAGACTTACATCCTGCCGCTGGTCGCATCATGGGCTGTGATGTTGACGGACATCCAGTCCCCTGGCTTGACTGGGAGGTTGGCGATAGTGTACGCAGCACCTGGATACCACTCCCACCAAGCCGATGCACTCTGTCCACCGTTGGAGTTGACCTTTCCCCCCCCCCAACCAAATATGTCAGCAACTGATTCTCTTCATGTCAAAGAACCGATGCAACAACTTACCACGGTAGTGACTCCAGCTTGCAACAAGGTCTGGTTGCACTTGGCTCCGTCGATACCGATCCAGGCCGCCGCATATTGAGGCGGAGGGATACCAGCTCGTAGCTTCAAGTCAGGGACAGTGAAATACCCAAACACATTGCGGATGGGGTCCGCATCGTTTGATCGCGAGGAGGCACCACACCAGTTGTCACTATAACTGATGTCGTTGTTCCCTCTCTTGGCGGTCACATGCTGGCCTGTGGCGACGGTTGCGTTGCGGTGTCCACGTCTCCGGTGCTTCAACGGGGGAATCTTGACGAACTGAAGCTTGGAGGCATCAGCAGCTTTGCCGTTCTCTTCTAGTGACACGGTGAACTCGAGTCCTGTGACGCCTGTTGTGGTGATCAGGGAGATGGCTCCCAGGAGCAGAGAAAATACCGAGTGCCGCATCTTGATGGCGCAGCAGCTCACACTACCGGAGGGTACGGGGTTGTGGCTGGGGTGGTGGTTGATGACTGGTCTTAAGTTGAGGTTACTGTCGATCCTGAGCAAGGGCAATCCGTCAAAAGAGAGCGGGCAATCCGGGGTAAGCTGTCTTTTGTACGGTGACGAGATTTCCCTGGGAACAAAGGATCGAGATGAGCGGAAGGCTCTTCAGTTTGAGATGGCGGTTTAGCGAGCGTGTGTTGGGGGTGGGCAACCAAACCCAAAATGAGCGGCAGTCAGGGTCTGTCTGGTCGAGAAAAGAAAGGTGCCACGGTCCGGTCGGTCCTGTGAATGAGCGAACAGGAAGAGGGGATCAGGATCACGACACGCAACACAAAAACGATCTGCCGTACCCGGAAGTGTGTGCAGACTGGATGAAGAGGTGGTGGATGGTTGGTGGTTCAAAAGGCATGTATTCCCTAAAGCCTTCCAAATCCATCCATCAACAAGCCCACCCATCCCCCCCCCCCCCCCATCCCCCGGTGAGCTGATGGTTTTGCCAATTTCACCACCCCAACCCATGGTTCTATCGTCCATTCCGGTGTCCAGCGATTGGGCTCCGAGTTCCTGCGACAGCGACGTCCCGTCAGTGCGTTGCGACAATCCTGGAATTCGCCCTTCAATAGTCCAAGATTTTCGCGGGGCTAGCGCACCAGCGTAGCATCGACACCACCTAACCGGCCACACCTTCAGAGGGTCAACCGAGCCGGAGTCGCTTGTGGTCGGCGAGCATGGGTGCGATCTTAAAATAACTGCTGGTAAATTACAGGCAGGGCGGCCCGCTGAACGCTCTCGGCGTCCTGCATTGCGGTTCCGTGCTTGAAAAGCTCTGCTCTACTCTATAACGGCCCGTCGATATAGCTTCTAGCTGGCCTTTACAGCACACCACGGACCCAACCAGCCATGCACCAAGACCCAGCCTAGACCTTACCGGTAGTGCCAATCTCGGCCCAGCTAGCTCTCTTCATCGTGGCTTGCTTGGTAGAACCAGGGTTTTTGACATCTGTCAGGCCGCTTTGGGGAATTTTGTGTGCTGACAGAACTTTGCTAAGGTTTTTCTTGGAATCATGGAGTGTACGGTGTGATAATATCAGCCACGTGTTGGCCAAATGAATGAGGCTCTTCCGATCGGTTCTCATGCAGGTGGTGATGATGTGCACACCGAGGGACACTATATTGCCTCGGTTATTGGTAGAGATATTGGCAGCCAGCTGCTGGATGTTGATGACATGTACATGGTAACGGTATTCAGCTATCAACAGCTTGTATGAGTAAATAATAAGGTTGTTGTCAAGTCATGCCTGTGATCGTTCTGAAAGACAGCCGAGCCAATCTTCACAATGACAAGTCAGAGCTAGCTGGGCCTCGTCGACACCGCCTGGAAATTCCCTCATCTTCTAGTCTTGGATCTGGTCCACAGCATCCCGTTATCCCGTCGACGGGGAACCAAGAAGCTGCTTTCCGCACATGACCCTGGTCCATAGGATCGCACATGCATTGCAGTCACCTTATCAGCCAACGTCCTCTTGGCTTGTTGAGAATTTCCTAGATTTTCATATCACCACGATTGGATGGACCCGAGCTTTCACGGCGACTTGCAGACGCAAGTTCTCCTGGTGAGCCTAAGCTCAAGCACCTACCTCTCTCAGGTGGCAGCATAGCTGCGGCTCGCTTGATATCCGATGAGTGAGTAGGCCTTTCCATGATGTAAGTGGGTTCAAGGTTAACCGTCGCCGGCTTATTAAGGGAAAGAGCACCGGAGCAACAAAGGTTGGAAACCTCGCGTTGGGGGCCATCCCGCCTTTGCTCCTTCCCTTCAGAAAATGAGACAGAAATTAGATGACTCCTAGGAAGGACTCCGCTGCCCAACAAAAACAGAGATCGATCGGTTTTTTACGATGCTGGTGGGAACCGATTGGTTTTGTACCGAAGACAGCCGTCCAGTGAAGGAGCGACTTCTTTGATTCATTTCTCAGCAACATTCCCTAGGTGAAGTGTACCGTATTCTGTTAAAAAAAATATTCCATGAAAGAGTCGTTCGAGTTTACCCGTTCATTTGCCCTTGTGTACATCATTCGGTGCAAATTCATTCCTTTCCTTCGCCTCGAATCATAACGTAAAGAATCATCCCTCATCTTGCTGTCAAGTAATGGCTTGCTTATTTTTTCTCTTTGCGGCTGATCTCTCTAGGTACCTAGTCGGTCTCTTTGAAACCAAACACAAGTTTGGATCTCGCCTTGTGTTGGTGCGGATTTTGAGTGAGAAGAGCTATTTCACATTCATGAGACCAAACGCCAGCTTTTATGGGTTTTCATATATTCTTTGAGTCCTTAATGAGTAGCGTATAAGCACCCTTCAGGATATTACGAGTTAGAACATATTTATCACATGAGAGCATGATACCAGGGTCAAGTGAAGCTCATCCGACCCGCTGTTTATCTTGCTTTCGTAGAGTCTTTAGTGGTGAGGATGATGGAGCTTGGAGTTGACTCAATGAGCATCTTTGCAATGATGGTTCCATGTGATTTGATTAATTTTATCCTTCCTCACATCCTCATCTCACTCATCTCACTCACCTCAGCGAAATGGTTACACGGGTACACCACCCACCTTCACCTTATTGCTCAAAGATTGGACGGGCACACACACACACACCCCACAGCTCTGCCCAGCTGTCCACAGCCGGAGAGCCGAAAAGGTACAAAAGATTCGCCACGCTCCCTCGTGTTTGTGTTTGTAAGACCTTCCACGCGGCCATCTTAAACAGCCCAGTTGTCTGCCCACCGGTCGGCCGACAGAGCACACACTTGACCATTGCCCACGCAACTGCGCAGCCGTGGCTTCATCCAGATCATCACATCACCATCACCGTCATCATTGAAATAACCGAACTCAGCCGGCTCAGCTAACCTTCTAGCCCCTTCCACAAGTTACACCGAATATTTCTGCACTTTTGCATCATGAAGCCTCGTCAATCTCCCAAGGTCGGATCGGGTATCGAGCCTGACAATGAAAGATCGGCATTTTCATCGCGCCTCATTCACTCAGCTACCTACATTACATCAAACAGCACTTTCAACAGCCCAACCGGCTTTCCCGCTCTCGAATTTGCTTGAACAGCTGTCAAAGATGGACCAGATCAACATGCATATCGCATAAGCATCGACAGCCTCACCATGCCAGTTTTCCCCGGGGACGCAAACCAAGTCGGCCTGCAGCAAATCTCTGCCACTCAAAATCATCTGTGAAACAAGCAAAGAAATCCCAAAACAAGCCTGAAAATCAGAGACAAGACCCAAGCCAGGCCATTTCGGCTCCGTACATACCCGTCTACATGCGCTCGCTATGTCATGAGAGTACAAAGACAGCCCTGAAAAGTGCCAGAAGCAGATTTCCATCTTGATGTTTGTGTCGCGGAAAAGCCCGTCATTGATTTGATCATTCCACTGCATAAGGCAGAGAACATCGGGACAACACCACACACCACCATGACACAAGGCCAATATAAGTCGGAGTTCGGGACCGTCAAGTGTAACAATAATACTATATCCTGTTTTTGCACATTTGAGCGGTGCGGGCAGCTGAGAATAGGTAAGGTAGAGATGCATGATTACACCTACGGCGCAGCCGATTGTTCCGAATTTTTCTAAAGGCAGATAGATCAACGGACCAACTCCTGGTCGTCGTACACAAAGCCTGCAAAGTCAGCCTCATACTCCAGTCCTCAGGCTTTCATCACCGATGTAAAATGGACTATTTGCCTGTCTGGTTGACATCTCTTGCGATATTAGCATCTGTCTCACGTTACCGATGCGTTGAACGTTCTACTGCACAGATCCAAAACACCGGTGGCAAGTAGGTGTTTGTGTGGCTCATTGGAGTAGAAGTAGTGGTAAGGTAATCAAGGTCATGATCAAGGAAAATTGTCAGGTTATCTCATTGTACCCAAAGGTGTACCTGGAACTGCGCAATGTGTGGTACCCTGACAATCACGTGTATTTTTCACTGCCCACCCAATGACGCATTTTCTTTTGTTCCACAAGCACACATACACACACACACACACACACACACCGAAGTGGTATGTCTCCGGTGTCGGAGGTGAGGAGTTGGAAAATCGATCATGGGAGGTCACACCGAGCGTGGTGGTTAGCGAGCACCACTTTATGGTCACCACTGCGATCAGTTCATTCAGGTCATGTTAGGTAAAATTGTCCAAAAAGTTCAATTGTGTCCCACGGTATCAAGCTGTTGCCCCTAGTGCTCAGTAACGCCTTTCCTTAGCCCTCCAGATCCCAGGCTGATATCCAATTTTCCAGGAGTAGCCAATTTTGTGCCCATTTTCCTCTGTCCAGTGCCTTGCCAAACGCTATGCATATTGTAATCCAACCCCCCCCCCAAAAAAACGCGAGAAAACAATGAAAACTGTAGAAAGAAAAGAAAATCAAGAGGATCAGTGAATATGCTTCAACATCCTCAAGTACTTCTCCCCCACCAACTCCCTCTCCCCTTGCTTCGCCTTCAACCTCAAATCCTCATCAATAGTAATAGCTTCCACATCCTTCCCCTTCCCCTTACTTCCCCCGGCTACTTCCCTCATCTCAGGCATAGCCTGCCTCAGCAAATCCTTCAAGATCTTCACCCTCGGCAGCTGGCACCAGCTAGCCTCGTAAACCAACCACTCCCCCAAGCTCTTAATCAACGGCTTATCCTCCGGCCTGATGGTCTCCCCAAGCACGCACGCCAACCTCGCAAAACACCCAACAAGCATCACCCACCCAACCGCATCCTCCGCGCTCGTGCTGCCCGGCGGCTGCTTAAAAGCCACAGTTCCGCACCCGTCCCCCCCCTGCGCAACAAGCCCCTTGAACGACCACCGGTACGTATCCGTCATGAAATCCTGCCCATCCTCCGAAAGCGACAACCCCGTAGCAGAATTAGCAGAGCACCAGTTCATCCTCATA